CTAAGCACTCACATTGGTGGAGTTGAGGGGCATCTTTGATTGTCTTTGAGAAGTGCTTGGATTTGGGATTTTAGTTTAGATCTAGCTTTTGCATCGTCTAGATCTAGTTTTTTCCATTTCCTTTCTTTTGTTCTTTCTTTTCAGGGTTTTGGTTTAGATCTAGCTTTTTGCGTTGTCTAGATCTACCATTTCCTTCTAGCTTTTTGTCATTTCTCTTCTTTTGCTCTTTCTTTTTTGTTCATCTTCATGGCAGATCAGCAATCTCCTCCTTTGACTCTAGAGTAGTAGTTGGTACAATTGCTTGATGCTATGCACTTGCAATTGAACAACCAAACTCAGTTGATGGCGGTGTTCACGGCACGTGGTACAACTCCTCTGCTCTTGGTGCCAATCCTCACGTTCGGCCGGAGTTCTTTCGCGGGAATCTTGGGGATGATGTGTACCATTGGTTCGATCACTTCAGGGTGATTGCCACATATCATTCTTGGGATGATGCTCAACGGTTGCGTGAGTTTCCCATGTGTCTCCAAGGGACGGTGTTGCAGTGGTACAATGGTTTAAGCGCAGCCACTCGTGGGGATTGGAGTGTTCTCCCGGACGTCTTCAAACGCGCCTTCGGACATGCCGATGATTGTGATGATCCTTTCCAACAATTGCATCGTCTTCACCAAGGGCCATCTGAGTCGGTGATGCAATTTGGTGTTCATTTCTGAAGTCTTTTGCTTCGTGCGGAGCCAAATATGTCGGAGCGGATCAAGCTAGGAATGTTGTGGCCAGCACTTCGTCAAGATCTTGTCGGACTTGTGCATGCACTTGCTCCTGCCACCCTTAACGATGCTCTTCGCTTGGCACAACGTTATGAGACATCACCTCTTCCACTTCTCGCTACACGTCCTTCCGCTCCACTTCCTATGGGTGATGGTCCTGTTCCAATGGAGGTTGATGTTGCTACTGCTCGAGTCCAAGGACAAGTGTGAGGACGTGGTCGTGGCCGTGATGTTCGCTGTTGGGCGTGTGATGAAGTTGGTCATACTTATTGGCGTTGCCGTCATTTTCCGGATTGGTGACCTCCATTTCCTGGATGGAGACCTTGGCATCAGCAACGTCCCATGGGTGCTGCTGCAGTGGAAGGTCTGGACACCGAGATGCATCCGGGAAATGAGGAGTCACGCGAGTAACGGAGGGACCTTGCGCGAATAAGTTAGTGACCCCTCCATATTTCTTTCAGGAGTATCATCAAGGGGTTCACTCAGCACCAGTTCATCCAGTGTTTACTTTCCAAACTCATTTTTATAACAAAAGGTCTCCTATTATTCTCTCCGTGTTGGTTGATATAAGTTTGAGTTTATCTTCTATTGCTCGACCTATTGCCACACGTTGTTGTTTACACTTGTGTCCTGCGGCGGAACTAGTTTTCATTCTTTATGGCAACGGCCGTACACATGCATGTGCACGGGATGAGGTGGACCTAGTTGTGCATGTGGGCAATCTCGAGCTTGAGTTGCAGCCGTTGCGGGTGGTGCCGAGTCAAGCTTTTGACCTCATTTTTAGTATGGATTGGTTGCAGCGCAATCATGCCAAGTGTGACTTTGAGGCTTCTCCCCCTTGTCTCATACTTCCTTATGTTTCATCCATTCCTCTCACTTCCATACTTCTTTGTCCCTTTACTTCTACCTCTGCTTCCATTACTTTTGTTCTCCCACTCTTTCCTTTTGTATTTCCATCTTGTTCTGCTTTTCCCTTTTCTGATCCCTCCGACGATCTTTGTGTTGCAGCAGTTGACCGGCTCATGAAGGAGTATTCTGATCTCTTTGAATTTGACCTATTGTCTGGGGCCAAGATTGCCACACGTCATCCGATTCCAACCGGGGAAGCTCGTCCAATCAAGGTTCCTATTCGTCGTCAATCACCTAAGGAAATCAAGATTTTACGAGCAAACGTCAAGGAAATGCTAGAGAAGGGTGTTATTCGGAAGTCGCAGAGTCCTTGGGCATGTGAACCTCATCTTGTGACGAAGCTTGATGGGAGTATTCGTTTCTGCATTGACTATCGTCTGTTAAACGAAGTGATGATCCCAGATGTGTATCCTCTTCCTCACACTGCTGATCTCTTGGATCGTCTGGGGCGAAGTCATTGGTTCACCAAGCTAGATCTTGCTTCTGGGTATTGGCAAGTACCGATGGCTGAAGAAGATATTCCTAAGACTGATTTTCATACACCATTTGGTTTGTACGAGTTCTTGGTGATGCCGTTTGGTTTGAACAATGCTCCAGCAACTTTCCAGCGGATGATGGACGAGGTTCTTTGCGATATGCCGGAGGTGATTGCTGACTTCATTGATGATGTCTTGATCCACTCGGAGGGGACGTGGGAGGAGCACGTTCGTGATGTTTGTAAAGTGTTGGATCGGCTACACGACGTTGGTTTAAAGCTGAAGCAGTCAAAGTGCATGTTTGGGTCCAAGGACACAACTTATCTTGGGTACCGTATTTCTCATGAGGGTTTGCAAGTTGATCCTGACAAACTTGTGGCTGTTCTAAAGTTCCCTACTCCGAAGTGTGTGAATGATGTGTAGCGCTTTTTGGGTAAGGTGCAGTATCTCGGTCATTTTGTGGATCATCTTTCCGATCGCACTACACCATTGCGAGCGTTGCTGAAGTCATCAACGTCATCTTTCATCTGGTCTCTGGATTGTGAGCGGGCATTCGTGGATCTCAAAGAACTATTAACGACTCCTCCGGTTTTGGCATATCCTGACTACACTCGACTTTTTATTTTGCGCGTGGATGCTTCTGACATTGGTCTTGGAGGTGTGTTGATGCAAGAGAGCTCGAGTGTGCCTGATCAGTGCCATCCCATTGCATACACAAGTCGTACATTACAACCAGCGGAGATGAACTACTCCACGACGGAGAAGGAGTGTTTAGCAGCAGTCTAGGGTTTCGAGAAACTTCATGCATATCTACATGGTTCTCGAATGTTACTTGAAGGTGACCATGCTACTGTTACTTCATTATTGAAGCGGAAGAACCTAGTTGGTCGTACGGCTCGATGGGCTTTGAAGCTTCAGATATATGATTTCGATGTTGTTCATCACCCAGGGAGTTCTATGGCTAATGCTGATGCCCTTTCTCGAGCTCCTCTTCCTTCTCCACTCACTTCTCATGTTTCTGACGAACCTGTTGTTCCAACATCTGTGGATTTTTTAGATGAGGATTCTGTGTCGTCGGCGGTTGCTGTCCTTGACATTCAGTGTCCACAAGGTGCAAAGCAAGATCTACCTTCTTTTGATGAGTTTCGCGAGGCTCAAAAGATTGAGCCGTGGATTCGGAGGCTTCGAGATGAGTTTGAAAATCTTGCATCACTTGCTGATGACTTGCCTTTCCGGCATTTACATTCTCAATATCACCTTGACGATGGCCTTTTTTATTTTGTGGGGACGGATCCTGATGATCATTTACGGCTGGTGGTGCTTTCGGTGTTTATTCCGCGGTTTCTCCATGCCTAACATGATTCTCCTGTTCTAGGTGGGCATATGGGACACCGTCGTGTCACCGAGAAGCTACGTAGGTCTTTCTATTGGCCGGAGATGCGACGTGATATTATTCGGTATGTGCGTAGCTGCGTTTGGTGCCAAGCTCGTAATACTCCCCCTCATACTGCGGAAGGACAGTTGGAGTCAATTGCGGTTTCCCGTCCGTTTGAGTTAGTGGCGTTTGATCTTATGGGACCTTTTCCACGGTCGACTGCTGGCAATAAGTATGTTATTATTGCTTCTGACTACTTGACTCGTTGGGTGGAAGTTGGTGCTCTTGCTAGCATCTCTGCAACTGCTATTGGATACTTCCTCCTCAATCGAGTGGTGTTCCAGCATTCTTGTCCAGAGCAGATTCTTTCGAATAATGGTCCCGCATTTATAGCTGAGGCATTTCATGTTTTGACGTCTTGGTTGGGATATGCCACACTTTCACGAGTGCTTATCATCCACAATCAGATGGTTTGGTGGAACGGCTTGTTTGGACATTCAAAGGGATGATTGCGAAGTATGTGAACTTTCAGTATTCGGATTGGGATGGTTATTTGCCGTCTCTTCGGTATGCATATGTTATAGGGGTGCAGAGTTCTGTTGGTGCTTCACCATATAAACTCCTATATGGTCATGATCCAATATTACTAACGGAGTTGGGTTTACCTTCGCGATTGCCACGTGCTGCCGATGCTAGATCATGGGATCAGTATTTGACGAGCATTCTTCCACTTGTCTTAGCAGAGTTTGCCGAACACTTAGGCCGTGTACAAGTGGGACAATAATAGCGCTACAACTCCCATCATCGTCCACCTGCGGAGTACAAAGTGGATGATTTGGTGTTAGTCCGTTTTCCCCATCTTACGGTATGTGGTTTATCTAAGGGGCTTCTTGTGCAATGGAAAGGACCGTATCGAGTGTTGCGGCAAATTGGACCACAAGTTTATGAGGTTCGGTATGACGTTCAGCAGGCCGATCCTCCAGAGATTGTGCATGTGTAACGGCTAAAACGCTTCGTACAAAGGGATCAGGAGGAGTTAATACCACCTACAGATCCACCGATGCCTTCTCCTGACATTCCTCCGGATCCCGGCCCATCTTCAAAAGAACCCTGATAGTCTTCCATTATCCCGAGAGGAGGGGATAATGTGAAGGCCAAGTGTACAGTTACGATGCCGTATACTAATATTAGCGTAGTGGGATTTTAGTAGCTGTCAGATTGATTTCAATTTGGACCACTCGCTCTTGTATATAAGCTAAGGTTTTTGGGCTAATTAAGATGCACATTTTTGTATTCCCTTTTCATATTCTAAACACTCACACATCCTAATATCAAAAGTATCTACTTGACAATTTTTAAAATCATTATGATTTTCTTATTCTCTCCTCCCCAATCCAGCTTAGGGTGGAAAAATATGTAGCAAAACCACAAAAATAGTGATTTGTTAGTACATTGTATGCACAAAGCTGACAATTATAAACGAAAAACAGGTTCCTTATCTTCAAAACTTTTGTCCAGCATTTGATACAAGGCTATGCTACTTTAACCTTGTAGGACACATCTGCAAGGTGTGACAAGATACCATACCCTGCAACAGTTGTGAGGAGGCCAAGAAATCCCAGAATCTGCAGAGTTGTGAAGAGATTGAGCTGCAAAAAAGAAAAAAATCATTAAATGAGGCATAGGTCACAGCTCTACTGAAATGACAATGCGAAATGATTATACCTTGAGCCAGAAGAGAAGATAAAGCCCAAGGATCGATGCAAGGCCACCGTGAAACGCAAGAGCCGACAGAGCTGGAAGACCGGAAGTAGGCGCGTTGCCAAAGTTGATATTCAACAGCTTCATCTGCCAGAGAATTCAAAATCAAAGGAACTATAAAATAGAGGAAGCGTTTTGCCATACCCCAACAAGGAAAGCGAGGAAGGGAAGGATGGTGAAGGCCAGAAACGTGTAAGAGAGCGCTGTTGGAGGCCGTTTCTCGGGAGTCCGGAAGATGTGTGCTACCTCGGCTTTTGGTTTGAAAACAGCCATGGGGTCGGTCTCCAAGGCCGGTGTTTTCTTTGACGCGCCCTCTGGAGGCTCTGGAAGGTCGAGTTCCAGACTTCCCAGATTCCAGAGGAAAGAGTTGGCCTGGTTGAAAGCAAAGACAGAAAAAAAAATGAGCATTTGTTCGAGAGATAAAGTGTATGTACCATTTTGGCGTCCCCGACAATGAGATCCATGTCGTATTGGCCCGATAGATAATGCAGCTCCTCTACGAGTCCAAGGAAATCCTATACAAGAGCTGGGAATTGCGTAAAACTAGCGATGGCAGCTTACCAGCTGAAGAGCGTATCCCTTTTTCGACGACTTGAAGAGAAACAGACGCTCAGATTTGCCATACCGTAATCGGAAAAACACCTTCCACGACCCAAGGAATACAGAAGATCTCGAGCAAGAAAAAAACTTCTTTGTAAAAAAAGTCATACCTGATGAGCGGAAAATAGAGCTCCTTCTGGAGTAGTGAGCTTGAAAGAAATCTTAAGCTTTTGCAGGTGGTTTGCGGACATCCCAACGGATTTTTTCTCCTCGAATTTCAACCTGGCAGCCGAATTTCCACTCGCACTCCAAAGAAAGAAATGCAGAGCAAAATTTACTCTGTTTTGTAGTCGGGGCTGCCAGTGTCGGTGTCCCAGATAGAGATCGCGACATCCGAGACGAGAATGGTCGACGCATCCTTGGGATCGGCTTGAATCAAGCTCCAAAGGCAGATGAGAAGAGCCGCAGCAAGAAACCCTAGAAATCCACAGACGAAAATCAGATCACTGCGCCGCGGATCCTACCTCGCAAGCCCATCGCTCGCCAAAAAAAACCCTAGCTAGGGTTAGGTCTTGTTAAACAATGTTTATTATTTAATGGATTGATTAATTTAATCACTCAATTAAATTACATGGTTGTGAGGAACAAACGCGTGCACTGTTCTCTCGTGTCTCCAGGGCTGGTGACTGCGAGAAGCCAAGAAAATGTAAGTTTGTAGCGAAACACCTGAAAGATTTTCACATACCAGTGTGCCCGATGGTCCTCTCCGACTCGAAAATTTCGTGATCGTTGCCTCCCTGAGAATCAAAACCGAGTTTTTGAAGACGCTAAGAAATGGTACACGTACCTTGAAAGTTTTGTCTCCGAAGAAATGGATCTCCTTGAAATCGTCGAGGAACTGGAGGCAGTAAGTTTTATCCCAGCCTCTGGGAAAAACCTGGAAAAACCATAGAAGTTTAGAATCCGAGAAGGCGAGCAGTGTGCCTGGAGCTTACATCGAAACTAATCTGGCCACCGATCGAGTAAGTAAGCGGCAAATGTGAAAACTTTTCCTTGAGAACATTAACCATGTCCCGTCGTATGTTATGAATCTGGTTGAGAGGAAACAGTGAGCACTAGAAAATAACAGTGTTTTTTCTTTACCTTGTCATATTGCTCGAAAGCATCGCGTTCTTCCTGGCTACAATTACGTCCGATAGGAGAAACGTTTAGCATACCCGTCCTAAACTCGATAAAAGTTCCTCTAACAAAACCAAGAAATCCATCAGAAACTCCGTCTGGCCTTAGAAGCTCTCAGATCTTACCTCTTGATAGGAATGTCCAAATCTGCGATGTAGTGAAGCACGAAATTTATAAATTCCTGCATCGTTTTCCAACGTTACCATCGGCTCAAAACATCATTTTCTTAAAAAATAAATTGTTTTACCTTGAGCTGATCTTCTCCAAGAAAGCTTTTTAGGCTCTGAGGCAAAAAAGGCATTGGTTTCTTCAGGGAGCAAAAACAGATGACAGATCTTACCTGGCTACCAATTTGAGATCCACCTTTGTGAGCAACAAGGCCATTCTCAGAGAAAACATAGTCATAATCGTTGATAGCTGAAGAAAAACGGAAGGAAAAACAAGGAAAAGGAAAGGGGAATAAAACGATCAGAAAATCCTTCCAGCAGTGCTTTGAATCTGATTCTACTCACTGTTCTTGCCAAGCTGCTCCGAGATTTTCGACAGATCCGAGCCACCGACGACCCCGACAGTGATCACCTGTTTGCACCAGCCTTAGAAACCTCTGTGGAACAGGGGATTTGATCTACATACCTTTCGGAGCTCCTGCAAGAAATCTAGCATTTCAACGGAAGCGACCTGGAGATTCGATCAAGAATCAGCGAGATCATGGGGAACTGCAAAGAAAATCTGACCTTCCTCGGCGGCGTGAGCGTTCCATCCACATCGAACAGCGCAATCACACCCGCCATTGCTCGCGAGATAGATCTGTGAATACCTAGAGAAGATCTATTCTAGAGGAGCGCCCCCACGCCCCGCCCAAACCAGCTACGATTTGGTGCGAAGGAATTAAATACACACCGCGAAAAGGTTAAAAGGCAAACTTAGATTAACGGTTGTGAGGCGGCCACGTAGCAGTACTTAAGAGCCTGGGATTTAGGGCTCTTGGTCGATTTTTCTTTTAGGGTTTCTGGGGCTGAAATCGCCGGGAGGAATCGTTTGATCGTTTTCTCATTCTCGATCGTTACAGAGTGATTCTGCCGCTACATGGTGGGATTTTTGTAGTTTTTTCCGAGCGTTTGTTGAATCTCCGTGGTTTTCCAGGCAGGGAAGATCATCGCGAACTTGCTCGTTCTTGGAGGAGGAGCGCTGGTGAAAGCTGTTGCTCAGGCGTACAAGCAAGCGATCGTCAGTGAGTCCATTCTAGAGAAGAGATTTTGATCAGAGAGGAAAATATCTGTTTGAGTGTGTTCTAGATGCAAATAAATCTGGCGTTGCTCACGAGACGGTCCAAAACCTTGCACACAAGACAAGTAAGTCGATGACCTTGCATGAAGCGAGGATGATCCTTGGAGTGGCTGAAAACACTCCCTGGGAAGAAGTTCTACAGGTAAATGCGATCTTTGTGCCGCTCTTCTCGTCTAACACTTGTTTTCTCTCGTTTTCTTGCCTTTGAAGAAATACGACAAGATGTTTCAGAAGAATGCGGAGATGGGAACTTTCTATCTCCAATCCAAAGTTCACAGGGCAAAAGAATGTTTAGAAGCCGCGAAACGGGCAGGGGGATGATACCGCGACGATAGCAACGGGGGATTCTTTAGCAACGGTGGGGGGGAAGAACGATCGGCATAAGAAGGTTTTGTAAAATGGTTTAGCTAGCTAAGAGCGCAGCAGCTAGAGCGAAGCATGAGAGCGAACGCTTGCTGTTTTTTTTTTAAATCTCACTGGAGAAGAATAAGGTTCTTTTGGCGGACAGCTTGAGCGCGTCTTTGGATTGATCTAACTTTTCTTTGCTGTGATATCCATCCAGATCCAGTGCGCGAAATCGCCCAAAAGTTTTTAAGCATTCGTGCGGGATCGATATGAAAGCACTCAGCAAAGCGAGGTTTTGGTGGAATTTTTGGGTGCTCCTGTCGGTGAAAACGCTGGTCTCCATTAACGTTTGCATGGAATTTGTGTCAGGATCCGCAAGAACACCAAAGAAAAGTTTTTTAAGCATTGTTCCCACTTTTGTGGGTGCTAAGCAGTGGATTCCTTCTGATCAAAGGATCATGGCTGGAAATTATACAAAATTACCTATCGTCCATTGTAGCCTATTTCATATCCCTTTCATGTCTGCTTCTCGTGTTCCTGGCACACTGATTGCCCGCATTGGGAACGTGTTGGTCGTACACGTGGCAAGGCGTCTCGTGACACGTCACCGGCGACTTGCCCACGTCACGTCCCTTCCACACCGCCACCACGTGTTGCGGGGCCCACTCGAGGCGCGCGTCCGCCACGTGTGCCGTACACCGGAACCGGATATTCTGCCCTGTGGAGGGCGGAGATTCGGCGGGCATCTTTATTGACCGTCAGACAACGACGCTGACCGGTCCCAAGGGCGCTATTTAAAACCTTCAAACTACCTGACTCGGAATTTAGGGCTGAGCAATTTTTTTTGGGTGTGCGGAGGAATCAGAGCGTGTGTTCTTGCGTTGCCGATCTGCGCGCTCGCGTGTCTCGATCGGGGATTTTAAAGAAATCTCGCGATTTCGGCGTGTGATTGGGGTGAGCTAGAGCTATCGGCTGTGTCGGTTAGCCATTTCTTCTCCTCTGCGAATGCAGGCTTGAGATTTTAATTGCTTTGGCAAGGCGGCGGCTGGCTGCTGGCAATAGTTTTTTTTTCCCTCTTTTTCTTGTTTTCGCTTGGCGCCGTGTAGATCGATCGACAGATAGATCGAGGATGGTCGGAGAGCCAGTCGTGCTGTTGGTGACCGATGCCGCTGCGCTGCCCGGAAGCGCCGTCGTTTGGGCGATGAGCGCCTTCGCGGACAAGGCAGCTCTCGGCAAGAGCCTCGCGATCTCTACTCATGCATCTCAATTCGGTCAGTCAATGTTTCCATTCGTTACCTTGTTCTTATTCTTCATCGGGACTTAATATTTTCTTTTTCCTCTTCAGGTGGGAAGCTCAAGCAATCTTCGTCTAGCTTGGAAGTCGTAATTTCTCTTGGAATTGCGTCACTAGAGTGGGTCAAGGAGGTCTCTCGAGTGCTGAAACCGGGAGGGATTCTCGTTGTTCGTACGAGCGAGGTGTATTTTTTTTTCTTCGTTTTTCTTTCGTTTTTTTTTAAAACTTAGCTCATGTGATTCTCGTGTTCAAGTTGCTAACTTGACGTGAATTTCAGGATAAGGCAGCAGTACAGCGAAGCCTTGTATTGGCCGGCTTTGTAAGCATTGAGACAATGGAACCTGTGGAAGGGCTTTCTCTCGCAGATGGCTTATCAGGAATTTCCCTGAGTCACTCCGTTTTGGTACGACAAATATTTCAAGCTTCTCTCTTGATCCTTACCTCGTTCTTCTCTTTTCTCGTTTCGTATAATTCAAGCTTCGAGCACAAAAGCCGGCATGGGAAGCTGGAGTCTCGTTTCCAATCAAGAGAAAAGCAGTGGCGGCTCAAGGTGACAAGAAAATCATCTGGACGTTATAGAAATGTGGGGAACTAACCAGAGAAGTTTTTAACAGGCACGGCAGTCGAGCGCGCCGTAACTTCAAACGGTTCTTCTGCTATAGCAAGCTGGAAACTCCCAACGGTGGATTTGGATGAGGATGATTTCGATCTTGTCGACGAGGATAGTTTGCTTACAGAGGAGGACTTGAAACGCCCCGAATTGCCTGCAGGTCTGATCCGTCTCGAATTTCACACTCAATTGTGCCTTTTCTCATTTTCTTCCTCTTTTGTTTGCAGCTGACGACTGTGAAGTTGGAAATGCTGGTCGCAAGGCCTGCAAGAACTGCACTTGTGGCCGTGCTGAGCTTGAAGAGGAAGGAAAACTTCCGGACGAGTTGTTAAACAATCCGATATCTCAGTGTGGAAACGTAAGTTTTGCTGCCTTTTCTCGCTCCAAAGTTCTCATAAGTCGCTCTCCAGTGTGGCCTGGGTGATGCTTTTCGTTGTGGAACTTGCCCGTATCGAGGACTTCCTCCATTCAAACTTGGCGAGAAGGTGAGCGAGCCTTTTCTTATCGAGTCCTCTTGGTCTCAATAACTCTTTGCGTTCTTTTCCCTTTCAGATCACTCTTTCGGGCACGCTGCTAACAGCTGATGTTTGAGCGATATGATTCATAGCCGGGGACGTAAATGGATCATCCCCTTGTCACAAAATTCCGGTTTTGCAAGGAGCAAAAGCTTTGATATGTTTTCTTTTAGAAATCAAAAAACTGTTGAAAACTGACTAGAAAGAGCGTGTCGATCGGATGATCCAAATCCAGGAAGTTTAAATTCGACGGGTATTGGATTCGAACACGCAACCTTTCACACTGTTTTTCCCGCGTAAATTTGAAAAAAGCCCTAGAGTGGAAGAATGAGGGTCACAGCAGCGATGGATTCTTCGCCCGAAGCGCTGCTCGTCCGGATCTTCAACGAGTGCCAGCAGGCGCACGCATCGCATCGGCGGCATCTCAAGGATCTTGTCAAATCCAGGCGCCAGCAAGACCAGCAAGAGTTCGCAGGGCTTTTCAAGAGGTTTGTGACCCCGATCTTCGATGTCATGAAGAAGGAGCCAGCAGTAGAGCGGATTGTCAAGTTTGTGGCCAGCGTAGTCTCGTTTAGGGACGAGAATGCGGCGGAGTGTGATGCGTTTCTGGAGGATTTCGTAGACTTCCTTCTCTCTGCGGTTGATTCTTCCAACAAGAGCGTCCGATATCGTAGCTGCCAAATTCTTTCTGAGGTGAGCATAGGTTTTCTGTTCTTTCTTTTTTCTTGTGTGCTTATTTCACCCGATAGTTTTCATCGATCAAGCTCACGATTTTCTTCGCCCTATAGGTGATCATGATGTTGGGAGAGGACACTGAAGTAAATGCGGAGCTCTGGGATGAGATGACTGCTGCCATGGAACGAAGAATCCAGGATAAAATTGCCGGCATCAGAGTTTTTGCTGCTCGTTCTCTGGGTCGTTTATTTTCCGATGACAAAGACAATTCGCAGTACCGACTTTCCTTACAATTTGATCCTAGTCCCGTAAGTTCTATTTGTATTTCTTTGTTTTCTCGCTTGCTTACACTTTTACCAGGACGTGAGAAAAGCAGCTCTCTTGGCCATTCCGGTCTTAAATGCAACGATCTCGGATATTGTTAGCAGAACGGGCGATGTGAGCGCAGCGGTTCGGAAAGCAGCGTGTTCAGTCATAAGAGACATTCCCATACAGAGTCTGAGGTGAGCGTTTGAGATTTCGTTAGCAGGAGCTGATTCACGTTTAATTTTAACAGTATTCGCCAGCGGGCGCTTGTGCTTCAGCGTGGACTGCTGGACAGGGAGTCCACAGTGCAAGTCGAGTGTAGGAGCTTGTTGAAAGATGGATGGCTCACGAGAGATTGCCAGAAGGATCCCTTGATCCTTCTTAAGCTCCTTGACGTTGAAACAAATGAGAAAGCGGGAGAGCTTGTGATGCAACAACTTTTGACAGAAGACTGCATGGTGGTGGACAACAGTAAAAGCCTTAGAGACTACTTAGATCATGATGGCACCAATGAAGGTAACTTACATTCTGCGTACCTCTCGCTTTTCAACTTTTTTTTATAGGAAAGATTCGGTTCATGGAACCTGAAGAAGCGCTGTATTGGAGAACGCTATGTGCACACCTACACACGGAGGCTCAGGTTGCGTTTTGTGTCTAAATGCTGCGTTAGATTTTGAAAAGTTTGTTAACTTAATTGAAGGCGAAGAGCTCGGACGCGGCAAAATCTCGAGGGGCTCAAGCTGACGTTCTTGAAGCCGTTGCGGCTGATAAAGCTCAGTTGCTGGACTCGATACTACCGGCAACGGTTGCAGAATTTGTTACGCTGGTCGAGGCACATCATACCGCAGGTATACTATACTCTCTAGTCGATGCTAATCTTCTAATGCTAATGACTTTTTCTGAAGGATCAAGTCAATCGTTTGTGTCTCGCCAACTCCTCCTGCTAGCCAACGTGCTTGACTTTTCGGACATGGCAAGCAGAAAATGCGCCGCGGCTTCGATAAATAATTTTCTTTACCAGTGGACAAGTCCTGATCGCGGTCCCGAAATGACTGGAGATGGAATCTATCTGGGAGGGGGGAAGGAATGGTCCGACGCATTTGTGCAGCTTGCCAAGAAAGTTCATGCAACCCCAGATGCTTTTGAGGAGGCGATGGCTCAAGTTGCACTGGACTTGGGAAAAGTTTGCAGAGAAGGAGGGGCCGGTGCTCTTCAATGGCTTCAATGTTTGGCAACAACCGGCATTTTACTGGAAAACCTGAGATCAATACGCCAGTTCCCTGCTCATGTAATGGAAACACAAGAGATGGTTGACGGATTACTCATCCCTGCGGTAAGTGAATTGAAATGGTCGACGCTAACGCTGATGCTTGCTATAGGCCAACCACTTGGTGGCGGACGTTCGACGAGCAGGCGTCAGATGCTTGTCCCTGTACTGTTTGTCCGAAGAGCATCCAAGCGTGCGGGTTATCCGCCAACTTGAAGAAGCTCTTGTCAAGAGTTCTGGTGCTGAGAAGATCATGGCCATCAAAGGCATGTTCGACCTTTTGATGTCCCATGGTGCTGGGTTAATGGACAGTCAGCGGGCATCTCATTCTCCTGGGCAGATGCAGCTGCCTCTTCTGCAGCTGCTAGCAGATATTCTGAGCGACCAACACGATATTTATGTTCAGGAGGACATAGGGGAAACAGAGTCCGCAAGAAGTGTTGCAGCCGAAGGTTTTGCAAAGTTGCTATTGCATAGTAAGCGATTTCCGGAGCTGGGCCTTGTCCGGAGCAGGGTTCTATGTGACTTATTTCGCATGTACTTCGACGAAGACACGAAAAGCATCCCGAGGTACGTCGTTTTTGCTCGTGCCAAAAGCTAATACTTTCTCCAGGTTGGGACAATGTCTTTCTGTTTTCTTTCACAACTACGCGTCGGCTACACCAGAACATAAGGTAATATTGAAAGCTCTGTCTGATCCATCCATCAACTATGTACGTGTTTGCAGCGGTGCATCGCTGAGGTTTTCGTCCCTGTGTTGCGTAAAGAATGGCCTGGTCTTACTGGAAGTGCATGCAACTCACATATCGCCGCGATCAGGAAAAAAAATGCGTCTCAATTGTCGCGGTTTATGCTTGAGCTCCTGAAGCACCCATTGTTCTCGCACCAAAACCCCGATGAGTCCGCTGACTTCGCAATCCTTGCAATCGATCTAGCTCGTGAGGTAGATATGAAAACCATTAATTGACACTGTGACCAGCTTACTTTCCAGATAATGCGGTTTTCATCGAGAAAAACACTAGCTGTTAAAGCTTACAAGTCCGTGCTTTGCAAGGTTCTCGTTTCATTAAAGTTTCTGCCGTCACGACAGAAAGAGATCAAGGTTATGAGACCGCTCCTTTCTCTGTAAGTTACCAGCATTTAGACCAGCTGATTTTTTTTTTTTTTCTTTCGGCAGGGTCATCGATGAGATGGCGGGAGAGAAGCTTCTGCTCAAGGAACTCAGGGCAATGGCTGCAGAGCTCAAGAGCTTGGACTCGACTAAGGATGAAACTATTGGAAACGACGAGCTAGAGACTCTCCTAGGTAACGTAGACATGAAGTCCTAGATTTTACGTCGACACGTTTTTCTTTTTGTGAAGCTTCGTTGGGATTCCTTGCCGAAGACGCTCCGCCAGAAGCAGCTAAAACACCAGCTGGGCGAAGTAAGCCTCTCAAAGTTCAAGAAAACTCTGGTTATCCAACTTTTGTCTTTCCAGAGCCCAAGGCACGAGCTCCGTCAGGTGTTTCTTCCGATTCTTCCGAGAGTGGCGTCCAGACGCCACCAAAAGCCACCGCCAGCGTCGCTCGGTCGCAGCGGAATTGCAAGACAGTGGCGATGGAGCGAATGCAATCGATCCGAGCGACCGCCAAGAGCAAGATGATCGATTTCGAGTCGGAAGAGAGCGAGACAACGTCAGAGGAAGAACTTGAGTCTCCTATATAAGTTTGTAAGAAAGATCCAGAGTTTAGGGTTTTTCGAAGATCAAAAAAATGGAGGGATCTGGAGCTCATGCCGCTGGGGGAAGCTCGGGTACGTTTGGAGCTCATGCCGCTGGGGGAAGCTCGGGTACGTTTGGGAGCTCCGATTCTCGGGACGATTGGAGCGGCGCTTATGATCCCTATCGGCACTCCAGCTATGATCGCGATCGCATCGCGGATCACCGACAATCCGGCACGCAAAGGGGGAGCCCTTCGGCCTGTTGTTGGCTCCCCCCAGTTTTCATTCTAGGTACCGCATTTGATCTCTCTCGCGCTCTCTTTCTTGTTCCTAGAGACCGACTCTTTGTAGATTTGTCGGTGCAGCTACTGTATTGTCTTTGTTTGGCCTCCATCCTCCACTGGAAATCGAAGCTGGACTGGGCTACTCGCGTCTCATCGATACCAATCCACTGTTTGTACGAGAAATCCAGGTTCTTCCTCTTTGATCTTCCTTCTCCTTTGGAGTGGCCTTGAAATTTTTTTGTTTTTCTTTAGGTGAGAAGATTTCAGGGAACTGGAGAACCAGTTGTTTACTCGTTCCACCACCGTCCAGCTTTGGAAGACGTTTTGGAATGGTCACATGACTATGATCAAGGTTTTCATGCCCAAAGCCACCAGGTGTGAGTCGCGATCTTTTCTATAGCATTTGCATGTCTTGTTCGCAGTTTTGATTTATTTATTTATTTATTTATTTTTTCGGTAGGAATGGGCATTGTGGCTCAACAAAGGTTCTGTGATAACAATAAAATACAACGTCAAGGAGCCGGACTCGAATCTTATATTTGCGATTTTTCAAGGTTCTTGCTGCTTAAGTGGTGCGTGGATTCACTGGTTGTTCTTCGTGCAGGCAAAGAGAACTTCCTTACTTGGGTGTCTGATCCATTGCATCCAACTTCTTCTGTTTTCCGCCAGAAAGTGAAAGGTAGCGCGCTTATCGTTCATGTCGGCAACTGTATATTGACTATGTCTGGACAGGAAGTGGAGTCTTCGAGTATTTCATCGAGGAAGATGGTGATTACTATTTCGCCTTCGGAAACATGAACGACTATTATGTAGAGGTAGAAACAGTGTGATGGTTTCTGTTAATTTCGGAACTTTTGCGGGGTTGATAGGTGGCTCTGCGGCTCGAGGCTCAGCTAAAAGCTTACAGCACGAAAAATCATGATTCTCGGTGCTCCTTGAAGTCGGACGTCTGCAAAATCAAGCTTCCTCTCTTTCAATCTACGTCGATTCTGTTGACCACCTCGGAACACGATGGGTTGCAACACATGAGAGTCAGGTACAAAGCTCGTTGGGCTACATTCGTAGTTGGCTTTGGTACGTTTGGGTTGAAAGTTCTGTTTTTCTTTTGTTGTGTGGCACTAACTTCGGCTTCTGTCTGTAGGAGCCTTGGTGGCTGTTTTGGTACTTCTGGTGAAGAAAAATCCCTGCAAGAAAGCTGACAATAGGAAAGAGGAGAAAACTAAGCCTGAAGACGCCTCCCCGCTTATTGATGAAAAACTATCAAACGAGCAGCCTAGTGTTGATCATCGGCCTGCGGAAGGTTCACATTCAAGTCCAGGCGACGAGCAGCTATGCGCAATCTGCCTGGATGCGCCAAAAGACAGTTTCTTTGATCCGTGCGGCCACTGTGCGACTTGCTATGCGTGCGGAGAGAGGTAACTCATTCTTTTCTAGATTCATTGCGTGAATGGTCTCTCGTTCCTTTGGTCTTTGCAACAGAATCAAAGCGAGCGGGAACGCAATCTGTCCCATTTGCCGGGAGAACATAAGGACTGTTCGCCGACTCTTTGTTTCATGACTTTGAGGTAAATTCATTCGAGTCTCTCGTTTAATCTTTGTGTTCTTAACAAATGTATCAGTACAAATAGAACCGTGCAAAAGAATAGAAGGTGACTTGTATATAGAGTAGGACGCTCGATCCTTGCAAAGTAAGAACGATTACGTTCACAGCTCCATGCTCCATACTTTCCAAAATTGTTAATCAAGCTTTTCGACGCTTATGATCTAACGGTTGATTTCATCGCCGATCCAACGGTTGTTGAGAGAAGAGGTCATCGACGATCTAACGGTTGTTAAGAGAAGATGTCATCAACGGTTTAAATCTCCCTCGCTAAGCGGGAAGAAATATTTTGGATTGGAGAGCGAGCGATGGCGGAGGGCAGCCGACAGGCGGAGATGCGTAGCCGCGCTGGAATCCTGGACTTCTCGGACAAGAATGCCGCCCTCGCTCCGACCGTAAGCTCCTTCTCCTCTGATTTGACGAGTGTGGATGGACGATCATATCTTTCGCAGGCGCCAGGCAAAGGTCTCGCGATCATGGATTCCTCTGGAGAAATTGGCGCCGGCTCCTTGATCGTAAGCTATTCTCCCCTCGATTATCATGAATCGGCATTGCTTGCCACAATCTGGTGTGTTTCTTAGATCCAGGAGCTGGACAATGGGGCAAAGAGTCTCGCGACGCTGGCAGATTCCGGGGATTCGGCGCTTTCTGGCAAGGAAACCCTGGCTGTCGAGTCCAATAACGTCGGGAAGAACGTTTCTTGGATCCCTTCTTGGGATTTGGAGGTCGAGGTGCTGCGGCGATTGACTTTGGATGATCTCGCACGACTAAGGTGTGTGTCCAAGTCCTGGAAGGAAAAGGTGTCTCAGTACGTCAGCGCTAGACCATCCCTCGCCAGCACGGTGATGATCTTTCAGGCAAAATCCCCTCGACTAGCCTACGAACAGGTGTCCTGGCTACTCAACGACGATGGCTGGATTCGAAAGCCAGTGACACTGCCAGAGAAGCCAGGAAGCCCGGAAGCGTTGGGGTCGCATCTTCTAAGGAGAAGGTTCATCGTCACACACAGCGGAAACTTTCTTCTCGTGGTTTTGGAGCCTGGAAAGTACGCGATCTACGAGCCACTCAGCATGAAATTTTCGGAGCTCCCCCTCGCCGAAGAAAGTGGTGGCTGGAGAGAGGTGTTAGCAGCTCTATACAGGACGGAGTTCGCATGCTTGATAAACCAGGCGAGCAGTGAGGTGATGATCACGACTTATACCGAAGATGGCACCTGGCTACCATGGTCGAAGACAAAGTACGATGATCCGGCTGGCCAGTCTCACCACCGCTGGCTCGAACTTGGCGTGCTCATGCCCGGTGGCTCTTACACGATTGTTTTCATGGACCTCGTCAGGCTTAATGTGGGAGTCCTCCGACTGGACGGTCCAACACCACAGATGCTCCAAGCTCCGCGCCTCGCAAGTGTTGACACCGGTCTTGTCTACTTCAACGGCCAAGAAGTGAAGCTCTTGGAGATCACCAGCAGTGCCACATACGTTCCCTGGACTTTGGACCTCGAGAATGAGAATCTTTCCTGGACAAGAGGGAGCCCGTGGCCGGCTGCCCCCGAGAGCTTCCACAAGCGGGTGAAGAAGGGAAACCGGGGAGTTCCAGCCAGGGTTCCGACAGAGTTCCGACAGATCCATGGAGTCCCGGCTCATATACGGGTGACAGAGAGAGGAGACGAGGTCATGTTCTTTGTCCTCAACACTGCAGAGATTCACTGCTACAACCGAGCAAATTCAGCATGGGGAGTAAAGCGATTGCCGAAGCATGGAGTACCAGATGGAGACGGGATCCTCCTTGGTCCACTAGCCTTGTAAAGGTACTTGCAATTCTCTCTCTCTCTCTCTCTCTCGATGAACTTGCATTCCAGTTGAATTGTTGAAGCACGAATGATCGAGAGTTCATTGCTTTGTGCAAAGTAGAGTTCTTCCTTCTGCAAAGAAATGAAAACCGGATGGAAAAAAGGTGATCACGGAGTGTCTCAGGAAAGAAAGTTAGAAACGAAGTTTTAAAGCATGCCGGGCCCTTTGATCCTTCTTTTAAGCCCTTCACGTTGAAACAGATGAGGAAGCTGGAGAGTAAGGACTTGATGTGAAGAGCAGTAAAAGCTGTCGAGACATTCTGAGTACCTCTCGTTCTTCAACCTGTTTTCGATTCAGGTGTTCCGAAAAAAACAATTTCAAGTTAAAGAGCTCCATTGACTTTGTTGACTTTTCATTGACTTAAATTGAAATGTGGTATGGGCTCATTTCATGCACTGAAGTCCATGCAAAGACAATATATTCAAGTCAATGAAACTCAATGCAAGTTAAAAGTCCAAGAAAGATTTTTGCGTCCGAAACTAGCTACGGGAGTCTTCTTTGCAGAATCCCGTGCCATGCTTTACAAATTTTCTTCGTTAGCTCGTTCCAACAAAGAACACCTGTGCTGTTTCGTCGTCTGACGCAGAGACAAGGAACTGGCCATCGCTGCATAGCCGAGAACCGTGAGCAACGCAATCACACCAAATACTTTCACAGCTCTACCTTGTTACTGCCATCCCTTGAATGCTCTCGCCATGACCGCGATAAGTTCTCAAGCACGCCCCACTCCTTGCGTCCCACTGCCAGAGCTTGCCATCCTCACAGCCAGTGAAGACTTGCTCGCCATTGCACGACCACACAAGCTTGTAAATCCCAGACTGCCAAACGGAGAAGGATCGATGCAAAGAGATCGAAAACAAAGAAAAGAGCTACTGTGTACCGTGTGTTCGCAAGTCAATCGTGGCGAGAAGCTGTGGTAGAAGTCCCAGATTACGAGCTTTTGGTCCTGTCCTCCCGTGGCTGCTAGCGCCAAACTACAAATCAGAGAAACGACTACATCAGGAACTTTTTTTAAAATCTCTCTTGGCTCCCGCTCCTTTTGGTTCTTTTTTCTTTACCTGGGAGATATAGCAGCGCACTCAACCGACGCGTCGTGCACGTCATTGAACACGTGAAGAACCTGAAAGGCATACGTAAGAGGAACTTTCAATGATAGAACTAGAGGTGAATCGAACTTTGCCATTTTGTATGCTGATAAGGCGGACAAGTCCACATGACGAGCCTGTGAGAGCGAGCTTGGAGTCATTGCTCAAGGCGAGGCAATTAACATCTGCCAAAATTTCGTGAGAACGAAATAAACAAAAAAGCAAGACTTTACTTTGCTTCACTCCATGAATACATGCTCCAGATTTTGGATCCCAAACGGAAAACCTCTCCTCAGATCCTGTGCAAACTAGCTTCCCTGCGCAGAAAAAAAAACCAGGCCTATGATTTTCCATCGTCCCAAAGATAACATTACCATCGGGTGTAAAACTTCCACACACCACTGTGCCTTGGTGCCCAACAAACATGGTCATGAAAACTCCACTGTCAGCATTCCACATCCACGATGAAAAATCGGATCCAGCGAGTATAACATGGCCGTGAGGGTGCCACCGGATCCACTGCATCAAAAAAACACGAGAAGTTTTTTGAGTCGAAAAAACGAGACGAAAAAAAAAAAGAGAGAAGAAAGCATGCCTCGATTTCACCCGGACTTTCAAGTCTATGCCTCAGATCCCCAGAAAATGGATTCCATATGTTGACAACTCCATCCGCTCCACCGGAGGCGAGGAGAAGGCCATCGCCACTGAATGCCAAGGCCGTGACACTATCTGTATGGCCTGGAAGAAAATCTATAGAAGAAAACCAAAGGAAAAGATAGAAAAAAAAGACACCAACCTTGGAGGAGGAGAGGGGGTGCTTCATCACCGATCCTCCAGATGAATGCCCGGTTGTCACAGCCACCAGTAGCAACCAGAGCTGAGTAGCAAGCGATGGAAACAACAGGCTCTGTAGTACGAGCTCTATGTTTTAGCAAAGCATCAAAATTTCCCAAGAACCTTACCGTCATGGCCCACGAAAACGTGCATAGAATCCTCGTCGACGTCCTCTCCTCCATCTTCATCTAGCGACATTCGAGCCATCGCAATCTCCTCCTCCGCCATTTCCCTGTACCTAGGGTTTTAGGGTTCTAAATGGTAGCCCTAATATAACGGGCATCTCTTTGAAGCACTAGACAAATTTTTTGGCTTATACTTCTTGTCTCTTTGAGGAAGTCTTCTCAATGATTTGAACAAGGCTTGAAACATATTTTGTCTTTCCATTGGGAAATCAAGCTTTCCAATGTAGCTAAGTTTCCAACAGTTTGCGCAAATAGTAGCATTTCGCTCCTTAGTGCTAGAATGGCGCCTCAAGCACAAGCTCCTTGTATGGTGGATGATCAAGAATACGAGAACGAGCTCGTCCAAGTTCTCGCTGAAAATGGAATCAAGCAAGTTCCACCAAGTTTTGTGCAAACTGTGGAGGATGCTGCCAATCAAGGGGACCTCATACCCGTCATTGACATGACCGCGCTTAGAGGTGATTCTAGAAGGGCACCCGAGCTTGCCAAGCTCGCGAGCGCCTGCCAGGAATGGGGCTTCTTTCAGGTATGTTGCTTTCTTCTTCTCTTTTCTCATTGTTCTTTGTACTCGCTGGAAGGTTATCAACCATGGAGTGGCAAGCACAAGATCTATTCTAAAATCTGCCAGGGACTTCTTTGAATTGCAGCTGGAGATGAAGAGATCTTGGCAAAAAGTACCAGGCCAAAGCGTTTCTAACATCTAAGGATATGGTCGCTACAATACCTCTTCTCAGACCATCTCTGACTGGGTAGACGTCCTGGTCGTGTACACTGAGCCACCATCACGCAAAAACATTGACAAATGGCCACTGCAACTCAGGTATCTTCTCCCCTACAATGTTACACTTTCTCAAATACATTATTAAACTTTGGTCTTTCAGAGAAGGCATTGAAAGTTACAGTGATGATCTCAAGGAACTTGTGCTGGAGATGAATTGTGCTATATCCGATACACTCGGATTATCTAGAGATTACATCAACAAAATGTGTGGTGAATACTCGTCTGCGCTTCGAATCAACTTCTATCCTCCATGCCCAGAGCCAGATAAAGCTCTGGGAGTAAGTCCACACTCGGATGGTTCAACCATCACTGTCCTTTGCGAGGATTCGGGCCATGAAGCTTTACAGGTAAGAAAAGATGGAGATTGGGTATCTGTGAAAGTTGTTCCAAATTCTCTCATTGTCAACATAGGAGACATTGTCCAGGTACTAAACTTCCTGATATTCAAAGCTTTGATTGTACGAGAAAATTTCTTCCAGGTGATTAGCAATGGGAAGTACAAAAGCGTGGAGCATAGAGCAGTTGTCAGCTCTGAACATGATCGTATTTCAGCAGTCATGTTTAATTATCCATCTATGAATTCGCACGTGAAAATATTTCCAGCGCCGCCACTTTGCAAGGATGCTCTATACAAGTCGTTCACTTATTATGAATATCTTTCATTCTATTTGAACCAAAAGGCTCCTGGAAAAGCTCGAGTAGATTCACTTTTGATCTGATTGTAACATCACATTGAGCTAAATTCCACCTCTATGCTTCGAAATCACAGGCTACCAGTGCCACCCGTGTAAGTGTGCTGGCCAAGTCAATAATCGTAATGCTGTACACCTATGGAGGTGGATGATTCAAGGTTGATTTGAAAACCTTTCCAGGGGCTTACTATAAAATAGCTTCCAGTCTCCAAAAGGTTTCCCTTAATTTAGTGTTGTAGAACTTGCTCATTGAAAGCGTGGTAGTGAAACATTGTGACAAAAACCCTTAGAATTTATTTTAGAGATTTTTGTGTTTATATGCAAAAGATCTAAAAGTTCACTCCATGTATGGACAAGAAACACCTAAAAATACCAAAGCTCCAAAGCTTTGACACACAAACATTCTTCCAAGTGATTAGCAATGGAAAATACAAAAGCTTGGAGCATAGAGCTATTGCATGATCATAATTTCAGCAGTCATCTGTGGGTTTGAAAACCTTTCCAAGGATCAATACAATTACATCTTTCATTCTGGACCAAAAGGCCTCCCTTTTGATCTAATGAATTTAGAACATTACATTGTTATAATCGAATCTAAAACTTAGAGCCAAAAGTGGCTAGTATATAAACCTTACAGCAGCCATACTAATTTCTTATGGCAGTGTATGGCATTTTGGGATGCTTTCTACTTATAATTACCACAGCTGTTGGATTCACGTTCAAGGGCTCTGACTATGTTCTCGTTGAAGTGGTGTTCAATCGGACTCTGGACATCATACTTGAGCGGCTAAATCGAATAAACGATAATGTTATGATCCAAATTGGTTCGAGAGCACTCGAAGATGTTGCAGGGGTTGCCTCTCAACGTCTCCATTGGGCTTGTGGTCGGTATGGCAATGATCTCTATGCTGGCGGACAAGGATGCTCTTCGGGCTCCTTCTCACATATCACAGGCTACATGTTCAAGCTCCAAATTGGTGCACTCATTGAAAGGGTGAGAGCTCAATTCTCAAGCATCAGGAGGTCGGGTTTATACCCACGTAGATTTGAGGCCCATCTTGGTAAAGACGTCTTTGAATATATTTATACACCATTGCAAACACCACCGCCCCCACCGCCATGGGGATATCAGCTAGACTCACTGTCCCATAAACAGGAGCTAGAAAGAAACATCGAAACATCCATGGGATTAGTAGCACCTACAGATTGCTGGGTTGCAGGGTTTGAACTGGAGAGCAGTAGTCCATTCAACTCAAGGCTATCGAAGGGTGGCTCGCTTTTGTCTCATGACAGGCATTATGCTTTCCATGTGACAAGTGCATGTAACCTGATTTTCTTTGAGCTAGGGGAAGATGGTGTTAAGTTTGTGTGGGCGACTGGAACACTTGCTCTGGACTGTGTTCTTAGTCTTTCTTTCGAGGGAGTGCTTGGGCTGTTTGATAAGAATGATTTTCTCTTGTGGTCTACTCCTAGGCAATGCTCACAGCCTTGCCTCTTGAGCTCGTCTTTGGTCATCCAGAGGGATGGAAACGTTGTCTTGTATTCTAATGCAAAAGCCACATGGGATACAGGAACTAATAAATAATCCCACTACAAATCATCTAAATAAAGACAAATAAACTTTCCAAAAGACAAAATAATAATGCTTTCAAGTGAAAAATAGCCAAAAGACGCTTAAATCATTCTTTGCGAGAGATATACTTTTGTCTATGTAGTGTGTAATTCTTCCAAAATTAAGATCCATGTCAGCGATAGCCGCAAGCATGTCGCGTTGGAATGCGATAACTTTGCATTAAAAGTTCGTCTAAAGCGGCAAATTTGTCGCATGAAAAGAAAATTCTACAAAAAAAAAGAGAGATATTGTACACGTCAATTGAAGAGGAACACATTGCCTTTTGCGGGAAGGTATAATGTGTTGAGGCAGATGCACGAGAGAGCATGGACAACTTCGGCATCCACGCCCTCCACGAAACCTCGCTTCCTCATGTGATCCGAGGTAGCGCGCTTGGCATACAAGCTCTCCACGCGAACCCGATCCCTGGCTCCATGAAAGAGCTTGAGAACTTTAGCGTACATTGTGCGAGAAATGAGAGTCTGAAAGAGAGAAGCAGTGTAAGTAAGCGCAAGGCTTCCTTGATCAAACTTTTTCTTTCTCTCTTACCCCGTAAGTTGATGGCTCGTTCTCCGGATTGCCGTGCATCTTCTGCAAGCCCGAGACAGCGTCCTCGATTATATGAAGTGCCTCGGCGACTATGGTGTTGTTGTCATCCACGCCGATGGATCGCTCCATGTAAGCTTCGTTGATGGTCATCTCCCCTTGCCTCAGCTTCTCTTCGAACCTGGCGAGATCCTTAAGTGCGTAGTTCATGTTTTGATGGCGTATGGCCAGCAGCGCAGCCGTGGCTCCAAGGTGGCTTCTTTTCTCGTCCAGAGCAAGGTGAAAGGCTAATAACGCGACCCTGTGACCGAGAAAATACCAAAAATTATGCTCTAGTTAGAACTAGCATACCACAGAGTTGTGTGACAGGGCTTGTCTGGTGTGGAAAACTTGTCGAGAATCGTGAGAAGGTCCTATAGCGCTTTGAAAGTTTAGAGGACGCAAAAAATGAAACATTCAACTTTTGTACCGTGAGTAGATTTTTACGTGGTTTGCTCGATCTTTTAAGCTTGCATCGCGCAAAGTAGGATGCCTGACAGGAAAGAGTCAGTACTCGGAAACAACGAAAAAACATTGGTTACCTGCACAGGGAGCATTACATCAAGGTAGTCATACTTCCAAAGTAGTCGGATTGAAGCGGCTGCTGCACCATAAGCCATCATTGTATTGAGTTCTTGCATGAGTCTAGCCTGAAAAGTTCCATTTATTCGGCATTTTGGAAAACAAGAACATAAAATTTCTACCTGATTCACAGCCATTAGAGAAGACTTGAACGCTTTGACAGCTTGTGATGTATCCCGACTAAAACGAAAGCCAAGTCGGGCTGCTATCCTCACTCCGCGGAGCAGCCTAGCTGCAAAAACACATTGAAGCTCAGAAGCCACGGATTAGCGATAGTAGAGGTTTACCAGGATCTTCAGCAAACGATTCGTCAGGAGGAATGATAGTCCGGACCTTTAAAGCAAACAAGATGAGAATAATTTTTTTTTTTGAGAAAGGCTAGACCGACTACCTTCTTTTTTTCCAGGTCAGGAAGACCTCCAACGTAATCGAAAAGAGTCCGCTCGAACGGGTCATACATAAAACTGGAAAAGTAAAATAATATAATAATAATTTTTTTTGTTGAAAAACACATTGTAAACACATACCCGTTTATGGTAAAATCTCGGCTCATTGTGTTCTCACATCGAAACAAGTCCTCCTTGCTAAAGAAGTCCTTCATAATGTTTCTGGGTTTTCTCCTACCTACGCTAGAAACAGTGTGAAAGCTCGACACCTATGGCAGCGCAAAACGAATGCCAGTAAAAGAACAGAAAAACCAGGTAGTGACTTTTACCTCAATCGTGTGGCCAAAACAAGTTACATGGCATACAGGAAAGTGTCTACCGACGATCATGGAACGAGAAAAACTTTTCTTGACCTGCAAGAACGAGTCAGCCCTGAATACTTTCGAGGGGCGATTCTTTACCTCGTCAAGATTGGCTGTGGTAATAATATCGTAATCTTTTGGAGCCTGCTTTAGCAGAGAATCTCTTACGCAGCCTCCAACAAGGTAGACACCATAGCCTGCTCACACTTTGATGCATCAGAAGGTAAGTCTTTCCAACGCTCGACTTCTACCTCTGTCCTTAAGCCGCTGTAAAACACTCCACGCACTTTGGGGAATGTTACCATGATAGATGCCACACTCGGCGCCTGTTAACTTCTTCCACTTGGGATTTGCAGCACTGTCTGCAAAGAAACGTAACAAACAAAGAATTCAATCAAAAACTTCGAGCAGATACGAGGAAGAACGACTGGAAAACCAGAAAGTTTTTACACTAGTGACATGAAATCACCTGCAAGGACCGCGGCAAGACAAAGAGGCAGACTTGTGAGGACAACCATTTTTTCCTCCTTCTACACAACTACAAACTTAAAGCAAGTTCTCTGCCAAGAACATGGAAGACAAAGTTAAGGAAGTAATCCACACCACATTTTCGACACCAGGAATCCAAGTAATAAGAAAAAAAATCTAAAATGCGAACCTTCATCGTCTGTGGCGTCTTCATCATCTCCATCGATAGCTACTGGCAATGGCAGCGGCGCTGCTTCCACAGGTCTCACAGTCCCAAACGCTGGATCTCTCTCCACGTCAATCAGCGGCACTATCTACAATGGCGCTTTAGCAGCGTGTAGCGATGAGATAAGGCGCCACTAACCTGATCTTTAGCCGCGGCGGACAATGTAGAGAGCAATGCGGCGTAGGACGAGCGCAGCGACAAGATTAGTGACGAGCGCTTCGGCCTGATGAGTCCCGGCAGGGCCATTCTCCCGCCGCGAGCCCCTAGTCCCCCATTCCTCGAGCTCCAAAGCCCTAGAATAACCCTTAAACCCTAAACCTCAGGCGAGAATATGCTTCTTGTTTTAAATCAGAGGCCTTTGTTATAGTACACTTCGGAGACTCTGCAGTTCCAGAGCGATGGCTCCAGGCTCGCCACATCCACCGAGGCTTTTTGCTTGAAAATTCCAAACGAGAGAGGAACGCCCGCTTGGATCGACAATGCGATCATACCCATCAGTGCCGGCGTCTTGAGATACGAGTGCCGCAAAAAGAATCTCGTTCTTTCCAATCTGCAGTGAAAAAGCTTTAGTTTGATCGATCTTGAGAGGAAGATAACTAATTTCTCACGAAGCGAACAACGATCTAGCAGCAGCAGAAGCCATGAATCCATCGAGCAAGCCAAGCTAAAAAGGAGAAGTTACAGTACCTGTGCATCACAAGAGGTGGGAGGAGGAGAACTGGAGCAGCGGCACTGACACGGGCAAGTATGCAAGCACTGACTGCCATGGCTCCAGCTCGTCGGCTCTCCCCAACTTCCTCGCCCTTCTCATCGTAGACTTTGATCCCCTGGAGGAACTCGTCCCTGCGAGTGATTCCCAGGTTGAGCACATCGGCCGCTGCCACTGCACAAAAGGGGATAAGCTTTCGAGCTAACCGCGTCCTGAAAAGAGGGAAAGTTAGAACGAACGATTTTGGAACTCGCAAACCTCTTGACGATTCTTTGAGCCTTGAAACTCGTGACAGAAACCATGAAGAGCTCAAGACAAACAATAAACTATGCGGACAAAAAAGAAGAAGCCGACAACAAGAATGACGCTTCTCGGAGGAAAGGACTTGCTAAGCATGAAAATCTCGCAGTTCTAGCAATGAACAAACCGAGGAAAGAAGAAGGAAGAAAAAAAAAAAGAAAAGAAAACCAGCGTACCAGGGAGCTCGATCCAGAAAGAGCTTTGAGGCCGAAAGTATCTATAAGATCGATCCTCAAGGAAGGCAAGATAGAAAAGAAGATGGACGAAGGACTCACCATGGTCTGCCCTGGGGAGCTCGATCGAGCAGCGCATTGAGGCCAACGGCGGCGCCAACAGAGCTGGCGGTAGCGCCCAGGTACGCCTGGAAGATCTTCTCCATGCTCTCGGCATTAGAGGCGTTCCTATTTGCGTAGTAGTGGAGGCAGTTGTACGTTTGATTGAGCCACTGCGCCCCAACGTTCTGGGAGAATCCCCGCGCGGACAGCATCAGGGTGTCGAGGACGAGATTGCAAGGGATAATGAAGGAGAGGCGGAGCGGGAGGAAGATCTTCTCGCCGGTGTCGGGATGAATGACGGCCTCCTTGATCTTGCGCGCCCTATCAAGCTTCTCCGCCGATATTTCGCCGCCCTGCTCGTGCTGCTCGAGGAGATCGAGAGCAGCGTCTACCTGCGCGCTCGTCACGAACGCCGTGCGGATGTCCATCATGTTGAAAATCCGTTGGACGCGCGACCAGTAGGAGCTCTCGTCCATCGCCGCCGGCGAGAGAGAGAAGCGTGACGAAGAACCCTAAAAGCAGGGCTTTTCTGCCACGTCGGACAGGGTTTTAGCTTAGGGTTAGGGTGTGGCAATGGCCGCGCGACGAGCTCTCCGGAAGCTCGGAGGGGGAGCTTCCAGTCTCTTCGCCGATTGCCACACATCACATTCTTCCGGGCAACGATCCTGGTCCAGGTTTCACGAATTCGCGAGGGCGGATTATCACTTCGCCGCGCACAGGGATGAATCATCGCGGCGGGATCAGGGGCATTTCCCGCTGGATGCCAGGAGCATCGCGATGTTTGGGAATTCCAGGATTCTGGGCAAGGCTGTTGCTGCTGCTGGCCTTGGCGGCGGCCATTCCGTTCGATTTTGTAGCTCGATGAGTGAGAGTGCGGCGGAGAGCATTCGATTTCCGGAGACGCTGGCGGATGCCGCGCAGGAAATCGTGTCCGGCGCCGCTGGTGCCACTTACGATCTTAGCAAAGAGATCGTTTTGGCGGTGTCCGAGTCTTTCCCCTGGACAGCGGCAGTGCAGTACGTTATATACGCGACTCACGTTGTTACAGGTCTTCCTTGGTAAGAAATTCTTCAGATTGGTTTTCTAGCTCTAAGATTCTCTCTTCTTTGGTTTTTTCCTTGTGAGGTGGTTGTCCATAGCTCTCACGACGGTCGCCGTTCGTACTATGGTTCTTCCACTGGTTATCTATCAAGTGAAATCTACGGCAAGGTTTGCGGTAAGTTCTCGTGAGTTTTCTGAGAAAGATTTGGTCTTGAGACTTTGCTTTTCCTCCTAGCTGTTGAGACCAGATCTCGAGAAGATCAAAGTTGATATGGAACAAGCTGTAAGTATGCACACATTATCTATCTCCCAAGTTTTCAACTTTGTTGCTTGTATCAGAACTATGATCCTGTCGCTTTGGCCGAGAACAAGAGGAAAATGGCTGAGCTCTTTGCAAAGTATGTCTTTTTAGTCTTGTTTTCAAGACACAGCGGGTTACATTTTCTTACAGACACAAAACTGATCCTTTTACTCCTCTTATCGGCGCGCTGCTTCAAGGACCTATCTTCATGTGCTTCTTTTTTGGGGTGCGTAGTCCCAATCTTTGTTAATTGCAAGCAACTGTGGTGATGATGGATCTTAACAGCTGCGCACAATGGCAGAAAAAATGGATTCTTTCAAAGAGGGTGGTGCGTTTTGGTTCACGGACTTGACAACTCCGGACGAACTATATATTCTGCCTTTCATTACTACTGCCACTTTCCTGATAACAGTGGAGGTATGAAGTAGTGTGTGTCTAGCTTTTGCACTTACTGGCAGACTGTGGTAGCTCAATGCTGTCGACGGAATGCAAGGACAACCGAATCAGAAGACCATGAAGAACATATTGAGAGGAATGGGAGTTTTGTTTCTGCCTCTCACTGCGCAGTTTCCGAAGGTAATCGACAGTTTTCCTGGTATATTTTCTTACTACTTTCTGCTTCTTGACATGTAGGCTCTTTTTTGCTACTGGGTGACGTCCAACCTGTGGTCGATGCTTCAGGGTGCTTGTAAGTAGAGCTTGTTCGCTTTACTTATTGACGCCTCTCACGTCGCATTCGTTCCTTCAGTGCTGCGAAACAAGAAATTCAAAGCATATCTCGACATCCCGGACACGTCTCACTTGGGAACTCCAGCGCCGCCGCCTACAATCACCAGCTCCAAACCCCCGGCGAGAAAGGCAATCACTCCTCCACCGGGCGTAAGTTTCAATCCCGGCGACTCGAAGAAGGCAAGGCGCCTGGTCCACTGAGCCTACCAAAATCTCTGCGAGGTAATTTAGAGCAAGTTTTGCAGGAAACACGAAGAACAATTAATCATAAAGTTGCTGCCACCAGTGTAAAAAAATCTGAGACAACGTTTCCATGTTCTCCAAAAGTATCAAAGCTGATACGAAAGAGAGGCTTATTCTTATTCCAAAGTTCCAAAGATCACCCTCTACAAACGCGCCTGGAGCGCTGGCACAAACTTGACAATGCGTCGATACGCATCCAGCGTGAGGAAATCGTCCAGATCCTCCTTGGTGCACTGCCTCGCAAACAATGCCGCGGCCTCACGATATCGCCCACTCTCAAACCTCTTCTTCCCCACCTCTCTCTCGATCCTCCCGATCTCCTCCTCCACGACTCGCCCAAATAGCTCCTTGCTCACACTGACGGCCACGATCTCGCCATCCAGCACGGCGCCATACTTGATCCACTGCCAGTTCTGGACCCGGCTAATCTCCGCCGTTGCCGCGTCCTCCATGAGATTGTAGAGCGGTACGGAGCCAGTCCCCGTGAGCCACGCGGCGAGGTACTGGATGCCGACACGTGTGTTGTGGCGCAGGCCCTCTAGGGTTCTCACGCCGCGCGGCATTTGGAGGAGGTCGGCCTCCGTGACGTGCACGTCGTCACGCTTGATGTGGAGCTGGTTGGCGCGCGGCATGTTGTCGTCGAAGACCTTGGTCACCAGCTCGATCAGTCCGGGATGCGCCGCCCAGGTTCCATCGTGCCCGGCCTTCACCTCGCGGAGCTTGTCCGCGCGGACGAGCTCGAAGGCGGTGTCGTTGGCGGCGGGATCGTCGCGGATGGGGATCTGCGCGGCCTGATCGGTCGGATCGGACAAGCGATCGATCGATACAGGCAAGTGAAAGATCGGTCAGCAAGCGAAAATATTTCGGGGAAGTGGATCCGAATGAAAGAACGATCAATCAGGCAGATATTTCGGAGAATCACGCAAGATCGATCGATGTTTCGGGGAAGTGGACTGTAGATCGATAGCGATCAGGTCGGAGTTATCAATCAGGGAAGAATAGGCAGATATTTCGGAGAATCACGCAAGAAAGTGGACTGTAGATCGATCGCGATCACGGGATGAACAGGCAGATATGTCGGAGCATCACGATCGATGAGCAGCAAAATCTAGGAAATAGGCAACAGAGATCGATGGAGGGAAAGAAATTCTGGAAGGAATGGGAGGAGAGGAGAAAATTTTGGCTTACCATTCCTCCCATGGCGTGGACACCGCGGCGATGGCACGTCTTGATGAGCAGCTCCGTGTAGCTCTTGAGGAAGTGCTGGGTCATCCCCACCTGGAAGCGATCGGGCAGCAGTCGATCGGGGTGAGCGCGCACCGTCTTGACGAAGCTAAAGATGTAGTCCCAGCGCCCGCAATTCAATCCGGCCGAGTGCTCGCGCAGCTCGTAGAGGATCTCGTGCATCTGGAACACCGCCGGCAGCGTCTCGATCAGCACCGTCGCGCGGATGCTACCGCGCGGCGCGGCCATCCTCTCCTCGGCTCGATCAAACACGGCGTTCCACACCGCGGCCTCGCGCGAGTGCTGCATCTTTGGGAGGTAGAAGAAGGGGCCATAGCCGTCGTGCTTGGATCGGAAGGAGGAGTGATTGTGGAAGTAGTAGAGGCCGAAATCGATGAGCGCGCCAGTGGCGGGCTCGCCATCGATCTCGATGTGGGCTTCCTGGAGGTGCCAGCCGCGGGGGCGGACGAAGAGCACCGCGGTCTTGTCATTGAGCTTGTAGTGCTTGTTCCTGGCCTTGTCCTCGAAGGAGATGGATCGATTCACAGCGTCGCAGAGATTCTTCTGGCCGCGCACGATGTTGTCCCAGGTTGGAGAGAGGGAATCCTCGAAATCGGCCTGCCAAGAAACAAGAAATTATCACTAGACAATTCGATCCAAAATCTTGCAAGAACTAGAAATTCCACAAGAACAATAGATCATCCAAAATCTTCGCAAGAAACTCAAGAAACTCTCGAAATCCTTCGCTGCTCACCATGAAAACTTTGGCGCCCGAGTTGAGGGCATTGATGATCATCTTGCGCTCCACGGGGCCAGTGATCTCCACCCGGCGATCCGCGATCACGGCCGGCGTCTTGGAGCAGCTCCAATCGCCCTCGCGGAGCTCCCGCGTGGCTGGATCGAACCCTGGCAGCTCGCCGCTATCGTAGCGCGCTTGCTCCTCCCGCCGGCATCCCAGGTTGAATTTCACGCGCGGGCGAAACTCGCGCTCCAAATCCGCCACGAACTGGAGCGCCTCGCGGCTGAGGATCCGGTTGAGGGAGGGATCCGAGAGAGGCCCGCGGATCCGGATGCCCGCTGGCGCGTCCAGCGGAAGCGATTTGGAAGAGTAGCCATTCTCCATGCTGTGACCAATTGATCGATCACCGATCGCTGGAAACCCTAGGATAGGGGAGAAGATACGACGAGATACGTAGGAGGAGTGTGGACGAGCTGCGCATTATTGACATGAAATCTATACTCGGAAAGATCCGAGGTCAGAGCCTATCTTTCTAAACAGGGAAGATGTACACTTGGCAATGGCGGCCAAGTTAATCCCGACCGCTCATTTAAAATTCCCTTGGTCAACAAATGTCAACGATCAACGGCTACCGGCGAAGAAGGTTTGAGACCGTCACATACGAGGCGGCATCCTGGCCGTCAACCCCAAGTGCCCACCCCGCGACGCGGGCGCCGCGCGTCGCGTCGCCGTGTGTCTTGCAAGCGCCCAACAGTACCGCCCAGGAGCTGGACAGGTCCGCCGCTGGGAGGCTCTGGATGAAGCTCTCGGCGCTGTCCAGCCATCCCGCGCGGCCCAGGAGATCCACCACGCACCCAATGTGCTCCGCCTCGGCTTGGATCCCATAGTCGCGCCGGAACGCCACGAAGTAGTGGTAGCCGAGCTCTACCTCCCCGACGTGGCTGCATGCCGCCAGCACGCTGACGAACGTGGCAGCACTAGGCGGTACGCCGTCAAGCTCCATCTCGCTGTACAGCTCCAGGGATTCCAGACTGTGTCCGTGCCGCGCGAGTGCCTCGATCATACAGTTCCACGACACCAGGTTCCTCCTGTGGCCCATGCCGTCGAATACCGCGCGGGCCTCGGCAATGCTGCCGCACGACGCGTACATGGCCATGACCGTGTTGGCGACGAAGGGATCCGAGTCGAGCCCCGCGGACGTGGCCCGCGCGTGGAGCGATCGCCCGTGAGCGATCCCGAGCTGGGACGCGGCCTCGATCGCCGCCACGAATGTATACTCGTTGGGACGAACGCCCTCGAGCTCCATCCGGCGGAGCGCTGCCACAGCGTCGCTGGATCGCCCGTCAGCGGCTAGGGCCGAGATGAGCGCCGTCCACGGCACGACGCCCTTCTCCCAGATCTCGGAAAAGACGCGCCGCGCGTCATCTGTGCGGCTACACTTGGCGTAAAGCCCGAGTAGCGCGGTAAGCAGCTGGTCGTCTAGCGTGACGCCGGAGGATAGCAGCGCGCCATGGATTCGCACGGCTAGATCCGGCGGCACACCGCCAGCGGCACAGGCACTAATGATGCTCGTGAAGGTAGAGCCGTCGGGCCTGGCGGCGCCGTCCAGATTCATCGCCCAGAAGAAGCCAAGCGCTTCGTGGATCGCTCCCGCCTGGCTGCTCACCGCGATCATCACGTTCCACATCACGGCATTCCTCTCGGGCAGTGAGTGGAAGATCTCGCGCGCGCGATCGAGCTCGCCCAGCTTGCCATACATGTTGAGCAGCGCGGCGGCGACGATGGGGCTGGATCCATGGCCGCTGGCGGCGACGGCGGCGGCGAGGCTGGCGATCCTCTGCGCCGCCACCGCGCGGTACCGCGGTGGTGGCGATCGCGGCGAGCTCGCGCACGCGTCCAGCGCGCTCACAAAGGTGACGCGGTCGGGCTTGAGACCCTCGAGCACCATTCTCTCGTACAGCTCCATCGCAGGACCAAAACGCCCGTTCTGGGCATTTGCAGTGATGACCGCGGTCCAGCAAATGCTGTTCTTTCTCGGCATCTTTGCGAAGGCGTTTCTAGCTCGATCGACGCTACCACACTTCCCATACGCATTCACTAGCGCAGTTCCAACGACGATCTCCAGATCCAGCCCCAGCGACGCGATTCTCGCGTGAAGCGCAATTACCGCGTCGAGGCATCGCAGCTCCGAGCACGCGACGAGGACGCTCACGAACGTAGCGGCGTTGGGCGCTACGCCGGACTGGTCCATGAAGCGCAGGAGATGGAGGGCCTCCCAGCGGCGATCCGCGCTCTCGGAGAAGGCGGCGATGAGGATCGTCCAGGAGAAGACGTTCTTGTCCGCGATGGCGTCGAAGATCTTCCTGGACTCGTCGGGGCGGCCGCATTTGCCATACATATCGGCCAGGCAATTGGCCAGGAACCGGTCCTGGCTCAATCCGTGAAACTTGCGGATGTGATCGTGGATGCGCTGCCCCTGCTCGAGCGCGCGATCGTCGGCGCAGCGCCGCAGCACCGCCGCGTACGTTGACGGCGCCGCCTGGCTCTTGGCGCGCTCCATCTCGTCCAAGACGCCAGAGATGCGCGCCATGGCACAGTCCTCGTCCAGGAGGCCAAGCATGGCATCAGTTCTAGAGAGTTTCCACGTCTTCTCGATTGAGAGGAAGCTAGCTAGAACAAAATCCCAAAGATCATACCATCTATCCCATGGCGGCTTTCAGCGCGTCCCCAGCGCCTTGGAAGAAGCACCACGAGAGGATGAAATCGGCGATGAAGATGCAAACCAGCGAGATCACCACCGCGGAGGTCGTGCTCTCTCCAACACCTTTAGCGCCACCCAGAGTCTGCAAAGAACACGCCAAGAACACGCTTTAGAACGATCAAAGCTCTCAAAGCTTACCGTCACTCCCCAGGCGCAGCTCACGATCGAAATGATCCCTCCAAACACGAACGACTTGATCATGGTGCTCACGATGTCCCACGGCTGCAAGGCTCTCGCGGCGGAGTCGAGGATGATGTTGGCGCTCACCCGGTACACCGAGTCGGCCAGGAGCACGCTCGCCGCCATCCCCACCGAGAAACACATGAGCGTGAGGAACGGCATCGCCAGGCAGCACGCCAAGACTCTGGGAGTGATGAGGTAGTCCACCGGATCAGTCCCAAGAACACGCAGAGTATCGGTTTGCTCGGATACTTGCATCGTCCCAAGCTCCGCCGCGAAGGCGCTGCCCACCCGGCCCGCGAGGATCACCGCCGTCACCACCGGAGAGAGCTCCCGCGCCAGCGCCAGTGCGAGGACGCCACCCACGGATCGCGTGAGGCCGAGCTTGGCGAACTCGCGGACGAACTGGATCGTGAAGACCATCCCCACGAAGGAGGCGGTGAGGAGATTGACGCCCAGGGAGCCCGGGCCGACGGCCTCCAGCTGCTGGACGGTGTTCCGGACGTGGATTCTTCCCTGGAGAGTGCGCAGGATCACCTGGCCGCCGATGACGAGTGTGGCGAGCGCGCGCCAGAGGTAGCGCGGCGGCTTCCATCCCGCGAGCACGGGGCTAGAATCGGCCTCTACTGCTGCTGCGGCGGCTGTGGCTGCGGCGGCGGACGATAGAGGCGCGCCATCGGTGCTCTGCTGCTGAAACCCTGCCCGGCATTTTTGGAGGCAGGCTAGCTTCTTCCGCGGCGGTCGAGGAGCGCCGCGATCTGCTGGGAAGAAGTGGCGGCGATGGAGCAATGACAGACCTGGCGGAATCTTTGCACGGAGGAGCGCCCTCGCCACATCTGCCATGCATTCCTGCCTATTAGGGTTCTTGGCCAGCCACACAAAGATTTGCCTCTCATTTGAGCTAGAGAAATTTGCCATTTTAGCACATCCAAACTTTTCCATCCCAAATAACTTTTAATATTATACATTTCCTTCTCTGTAATAATAGAATTAAGTGGTTGTGCTGCACATTAACATGTAGCATGTTTAATAGTAAAACTTAATTCAGTTTATCAATTAAAAATTTATAATATTATAAGTTATAAACATAATTTTATTTTTATTATATAAATAATATTAAATGGTATCATAAATTAAAATATACTAAGAAATGTTTAAAAAAATTTATAAATTATAAACATACAGACTTTTTACGAAGATCATAGAAAGTCAAAAGATTTTTTTCTTTAGCCTAAAGATTTCACTGAAAAATGTTTTAACAAAATTAATCTAAATAAATGACAACCCTTAGATAGTAGAATATTTTAAAAAATTTAAGTATATTTTAATTATATTTATTTAGTTCTTCTTTAGCAAACTAAAAATAACCTTAGATATTACAAAATAACATTTTAGAAATATATTATTAATTATTTTCCCTAATTAAAAAATAAGAAATTTAAAAAAATATATTTAACTATCATAAGTAAATAGATAATTTTTATTTACATTTTTATAATTACTATGCATTATGTAACATTGTACTTAGACAAATAAAATATTTAGAATATTGCAAAGAAAAACTTATTAACATGGCATAAATATAATCTTTCTAAATTAATATTAAACGTAACCTTTTTAAAACCCTAAAGTGAAGAGAAAAAGAGAAATATACAATGATAGTCTCAGATGTTTTAATATTAAATAGTTGCACTATATGTATAACATTATTTTTACATTTTATCAATACCATTTTAAAATCTCAATACACATATACAATACTCCAGTTTTCTCACAAAATTAAAACCCCACACACTTAAAATATTTAAATAAAAAACAAAAATTAAAATTATACTTAAACTTCATTAGTTTTATTTGCTGAATTTAAAATTTTGTATAAGATTAAAGAAAAATAATTAAAGATTTATAATACATATCCTTTTTATTACTATGAATACTAAATTCCAGAAAAATTCTTAGTAAATAAAACTTTACATTATATATTATTTTTAGCTTTTAAAGAATAATAAATTGTAAATCCTATAACCTTAAAAATATTTTTATTTTTTTCATAACATAGTTACTATCAAAATTTGGATAACTACAGAATGCTATACATATTAAACCCATCATACAAACTTGTCTAGTTAATTGATAATACTAAATTGTAAATTGGGCTGTGAGGTAAATCCCATCAACCTGTTTAAGATTTCCTGCATTTATCCAATGTCCATATAGCTCGCCTCAAGAACAAAGTTCATGAACTACCATAGACAAACAAAGAATACATAGGAGGAGGATCCAACAGCAAGACAGCTGCTGAGGCTACAGTGGCAAAGCAGGCAGAGATTTCGTGCTACCTGGCACCATTGCCCTTCAACAACATCAAGGGCAAGGTGAGTGGGTAAATTGCATAGCCAGGATTGTGACCCTATGCCATGTTGTAGTAGAGCTCATTTTTGGTTTTTCTGATTGTGTTATCCAGGGAAGTTTGTAGCAAGATTTCCATACAAATCACTGGTCACTTATCTCCTGGTAAACCTCTGGGCTATGCAGACGAAGTGAACAGAGATATTTTTGGGAAACTGCAAATTCCACTGGAAGAAAGGGAGGCAAGATCCTTTCAAGGCAATCCTAAGAGGCCATGCAAATGGCTTAAGAGAAGATTCACGAGCCTTTACTCTCTCCAAAAGCTCTTGGGTATTATCCCTGTGAGTAATTGGTGTGAATCCAAAAAGGCTGGAGAAATGCTAAGAGAGCAAGTTCTGGAATGTCAAGTTTGGGATAGGAATCATTAGATTATAGAATATATTGGGAGGTGTTTAGGTATGTTTATAAATTATAAACATAAATGAAATTGTTAGATAATAGAATATATTTTAAATATATTGGAAAGTTCTTTAAAAATAATTTCAAAATAAACCTTTTGGACATATGAAAACAGAAAGCTTTACAAACTTGATTTCTCGAGCAGGCAGTAAAAATTTACAAACCAAAGGCAATCCTTTGTATTGTCGGCTCAAATCCGTCCAACCTGCAAGGACGCTGCTACTTCTTTCCTCAGTTCCTCCATGTCCCTGGCCAGCTCCACATGATCCTGCTCGAGCATCAGCTGCTCCAGCGTCCGCCGGAGCTTTTCCAGCGCCACATCCAACCCCGACACGCCCTTGAGCGTCTTGTGCGTGCTCCCGACGCGAGCCAGGCTCTTGAGAGCCATGAGTGCCTGCATATCAAAAGTTCACGCAAGTTAAAACTCACAAAAACTTCGAGAGGCTTTCTTGCCTTTTCTTGAGTGTCCAAGTCCGACGAACCGAGTATCTGGACAACAGATTCCACTAGCTCGTCCTCGGGAACGTAGCTTGATAAACCTCCTCCAGCTTCCGCAAGCTGCTCGGCTAAGTCGGCCACCAAAAACAGAGCCTTCTTCATGAGTCTCTGGCTCGTGCTAGAGCTGCTTAACAGTTCCTGCTCGACAGGAACAAGAAGATTAACAGAGATTGGAGCGAGAAATCAAGTTTCCACGACGCTTACCTGCAAGAGTCTCGCGCCACCTTGCTCGTAAAACGCTTCGTGGCCAGCGGGATAGTTCCTGATCACAGCGGAAACGGCATACAGAGCCTTCACGGCCTCCTCCTCGGAAGTAGCCGTAACCATTTTCATCAAAGCTGGAAGTGTTTCCATTTGTAAAATCTACAATGATAAAGACATGAAGAAGTTCATGTAGCCGCCGCTTTCCATCGGACAAGGTGTTTTACCTGACTTTGGACGAGACGATTGTTCTGACTGGCCTTTCCCAGCACCCACGCTGCGGCTACCCGGATGTCCTCTTCGGGGCTCTGGAGCACATCGATCACAGCTTCCAGGCCACCCAGCTTGTTTAAATCTGAGAGAAAGAGATTTTTCAGTGAAAGTTCCAAAACAGGGAAAACAAAAACAGGTACCATTTGCGTTGTCAATCGGCTCAACGAGCTCCAGTAGCTCGTCCAAAGCACGCTTGTGCTCGTCAACCGAGAGAGAAGAATTCTTAAGATCCTTGATCGCTATTCTCATCAAATCTGCATCAGATGGCATTTTCAATCTCTCCATCAGTTCCTAATAAGCACAGAAACAAACAAATCCATTATACACAGCCAGTTCGTTTCTCCAGGTTTCTTTCCTCACCTTGATATCCGCTCGACGCTTTGCGAGTTCCTCGGGAGTCAGCCTCATGGTTTCCCTGGCAGAGTCCTTTAGTTTCTCTGGATCAGAGTGTCCTGCGAAGAACACGAATCTTATACCATCCAACCCAGCAAGCATTGTTTGATACCTATGGCCCATTGGAGAAGGCTATCTAGCGTTGGAAACCCGACCTCGGTATCCTCCAACAGCGAGACCTGCGCCTTGGTTTCCAGATCCTTCTCGTCGATTCCAGTCACCCACGCAAAGCCTCCCCGGCTCGAATTCAGCTTCGCGTCCAGCCCAGCTATCCTAGAGAGCACAGTGGGCGGCGCCGCTGCCGCTGCCGCCCCGCAGGCCAGGGAGAAGAAACACACCAGCGCCATCGCCATCGCCATTCTCGCCATTCCCCTTCCCTATCGCAAACCCTAAAATTTGCCACCACGTCGGACGTGGCATGCCAGTGAAAAGTTGCCACGTGTAACCAATGTTTAATTCAAAATCTCGCGCCACCATGTGTTTAAATCTGGCTTACGTATAGAGATGTAGGCCCGGGAATGGCAAGCCGAGTGGTCTTATCGATGGGGAGCCACAACTTTATCAACTAGATCTTCAAGATTGTCCCTCCCGCAAGGCATCCGTCTTTGTTGCTTGTAGCGCTGAATTTGAGCTTGAGCGAGTACAGTGACTCATACTGATTCATTACTCTGAGTAGTCTCCACGTCAATGCTTTGCGTACCTTGAGAGTACTCGCGGTCTCGTCTCGCAATCTCACAGAGAATGGCTTTCGTACTTCATCATGGAGCAGCCGGATTTCTCTCTCCAGTGAGCAAGACGCGAGCAGCAGCGCAAAGCCAGCACCCTGGAATCAGAGCAACAGCAGTCAGGGAGCAGCCACTGGAAGAAGAAAAAGAACTGAAAAGCTTACTTAGTTTAAGCTCCTCCTCCATCGCCACCGCCGCCACCACCACCACCGCCAGAAAGCCATACACGGGCATTGCAGGACGGCTCTGCGACGCCGCCGAGAGCTTCATTGCAAACTTCATCGAGCCGCGAGTGGTGCGTCCCCCGCGATCGGACCCAAAGATCCAGCTCGCCGACAACTTTGCGCCGGTTCCCTGCGAAGTCCCTCCGCAGCCGTGCACCCTGGTTCGAGGAGAGATCCCGGAGTGCCTGAAAGGAGGCATCTACATCCGGAACGGTGCCAATCCGCTCTTCAAGCCGGTGGGAGGATACCACTACTTCGACGGCCATGGAATGCTTCACGCTGTCAAGTTCGTTGGTGGAGTTCCATACTACTGCTGCCGCTACACCAAGACCAACAGGTACAAGCACGAAGCTTCCGCTGGCCGGTCCCTGTTCCCGAATCCGTTGGGAGATAGTCACGGAGTCCCAGGAATCGCTCGCATCACACTCTTCGCCATGAGAGTCGCGCTGGGAATCGTCGATGCCACTGGAGGAATCGGGACTGCGAACGCTGGGCTTGTCTTCCACAATGGAACTCTTCTCGCCATGTCCGAGGACGACATGCCTTATGCTGTTCGTATCTGCGAGAGTGGCGACCTCGAGACCGTCGGAAGGTTCGGTTTTGATGGCGAGAACCAGCTCAAGTCGCCAATGACAGCTCATCCCAAGCTGGATCCACGGACTGGAGAGCTGCTCTGTTACAGCTACAGCGTCGCCACGAAGCCGTATCTCAAGTACTTCAAAGTTTCTGCTCGAGGAGTGAAGTCCAAGGACGTTCCAATTCCCCTGTCCGAGCCGGTTATGATGCACGACTTCGTGGCGACCGAGAACTTCGTCGTCTTCCCGGAGACGCAGATAGTTTTCCGGTTCCAAGATCTCTTCCTGAAGAGAACCTCTGCCGTTGTGTGCGACGAGAACAAAGTCCCACGATTTGGTGTTCTTCCCAGGAACGCCGAGGATGTGTCCGGCTTGAAATGGTTCGACGTCCCTGGCTTCACGAGTTTGCACTTTGTGACCGGCTGGGAGGAGGACGGCGGAGAAAAGATCGTGCTGATCGCTGCAAAGACATGGCCGCTCAGGAACATGTTTGATGATCCGGCTTCCGTTCATAACACAGTCTGTGAAGTCCATCTAGATATGAAGACGAGCCTGGCTACCGTAACACGAGTCACTGCTGCAGTTCTCGAGATCGGCCAAGTCGATCACCGGATGATCACCAGAAAGACGAGGTATGCTTATTATTCGATTTATGGTCCCTGGCCGAAGTTCTCTGGAGTTGCAAAGCTCGATCTGAATGCTCCCAGATGTTCCAACGTGACGACCATCTCTGAAGAAGCTCTCGAGTATGACCCCGCTGTGGTTGCATGGAGAAAATTTGGAACGGGACGTTTTGGCAGTGAGCCATTTTTCGTTCCCAGGAACGACGATGCCGAGGAAGATGACGGCTTTCTGCTTTGCTACGTCCACGATGAAATAACTGGCGTCTCCGAACTGCTTATTATGGATGCGAGCTCTCCCAAGCTAGACACAGTAGCGTCCATCGAGCTCCCTTCGAGAGTACCATACGGTTTCCATGGGCTGTTCGTGAACAAGGAAAAGTTAGCTCAGCAGAAGCCTGTATAACAAGTAGCTACCAAACTAATGTGTGTAGGTCCATATCACGTCAATGTCCAGCGTTTGACACCGCAGCCAATGGATTTATTTGCAATCCGAAAGCAAGGTCCCAAAAGTCTTTTAGTCCAGTGAGAGCGCCTCGCAACACGTTGCTCATGGCCCTACAAAATCAAGCACTTGAATCTAGAGTAGATAACCATAAGCTCAAACCTCCGGATAAGGTGGCGTTTCTTGATCAACGCATACACCATAATAATCGTTGCAAGGCTCTTTCCTATTGCAGAGAACTGGAATGATATTCGAGCCAATGCTTGGATCCAAAATATGCGAAGCACTTCAACCAGGAGCTTTACCCAGTAAGCAAAGCTTATACGTAGCGATGTCGATTGGAGAGCTCTCGTTTTCTTTGTAGGTGCAGATTCTTTGTCACCAAGAAAGCCGGCTCCCTGTTCTTCTTCTTTGTTCTTTGGCGTAGGGACGGTACGATCAAGAAGCTTTTCCAACAGTTCCTATCAAACAAACAACTCGTGAAAAACGCAATGAATATTTCTGAAGGGACGACCACTTACTTGCCTTCTCCTTTCCGGCAGGTCGAGTTTCTCCGTCCAGCTGAGGACCAACTTGGGGTCGTTGAGACGTAATACGTGCACAGAAAAGATTTCTGATAAGTCGGCATAAATATCCTCCGGCAACAGCATAGTGCACTCTTTGACAGTTTTAGTGTAAAAGCCACTTTGTTGGGCATCCCTGGACCAGCCATCGAGGTAGCACTGAAGAGCTAGATGAGCAGGATAATGGAGCTGAGATGAGACTTGTAGACAAATTCTACAGAGCTGTCGTTTAGAAAAAAAAATATGACAAAAAAGAAGGACTCACGCTGGAAGAACCAAGTAGTGCGGTATAAACTCCAGACTCTCGAAATGATCTTCCAAGATGCTAAATAACGATCCAAGCCTGAAAAGAAGTTTAGACCGTTTAAAACTAGCGCTATTTGTTACCTCCCCATTTCGCTTGTCGCTTGGACAAGCACCATTCCAGCAGCTTCAACAAGGTCTCTAAGGCCTTGATCGTTAACAGCGTAGAGAAGCCGTCGAGTGTCCGAGGATTTTAGCCGCAGCTTGTCAAGAACCTCGGACGCCTTGGACAAAGAACTGGCATACATCGCGCTAACGAGGAATCTAGAGCACGAAAATAAGATCGATCCGCAGAGGTGGAGTGGAAATTTACCTCTCAGCGAGGACAATATCGTCCCACAGCGCATCCCCTTCCTCGCCCAGCATTGTGATAAACCCTAAAAACAGAGCCCTAATATTTGATCTAGTCCATACCTATTTCTCACGTCTTTCACAGCATCGCGTTGGAAAGAAGAGGAATGGTGGCCAGGGAAGAACACGACGATCTCGCGCGACGGCGAGCGCGATCGACGTCTCTGTGCGTCCGGCTGCTGCTAAGAAGTGCCCGGATCGCGGCGGCGTCCGGAGAGAACGGCATTGCTCGCAGCAGCTCTTCCGCCTGCTCGAGCCTTCCCATCCGGCCCAGGAGGTCGATCGCGCAGGAGATGTGCTCGATCCCCGGAGAGAGCCCGTGATCCAGGCTCATCGATCCCAGAAATCCCTGGCACTGATCGACGAGGCCCAGATGCGCGCAAGCGGCAAGAACATTGAGACATGTCACGCCATTTGGATTCCACCCTTCCATCTGCATCGACGCGAAGAGCTCGAGCGCTTGCTCGCCAGCTTTCGAGCGCGAGCACGCGAAGATCATCGCTGTCCAGCAGATGGTATCCAGCTCGGGCATCCGATCAAACGTAGCTCGAGCTACGCCCATCTCTCCAGCCTGCGAGTAGATCTCGAGGATCGAGGTCCAGGCCACGATATCTCGCTGCGGCATGGAATGGAAGACGATCGATGCCGCCGCTGGTTCCCTGGAGCAAGCCCCGAGGAGAGACGTCCAAGAGACAATGTCCTTGATCGGCATCTTCCGAAAGACTGGCAAAGCGCTGTAAAGATCCCCAGCCTGGGCAAATGCTGATAGAAGACTGTTCCAAGCGACTAGATCCCACTCCGGCATGGTGTCAAAGAAATCTTGGGCTTGATCGATGTGGCCGGATTGCGCAAACGCTTGGAGCATTGCGGTCGAGAGAAGGAGATTCCGGAATGGACTGGTGTCGAATGTGTTCTTCGCGCCTTCCAGATTGCCATTCCGGGCAAATGCCGCAAGGAGTGAAATCCACGAGACATCGGTCCACTGTCGCATGGAATCAAAGACGCGCTTGGCGCTGGCTGGATCAGCGGCTTGAGCGAAAGCCACGAGCATCACATTGCAAGAAACCGCGTCGTGCTGGGGCATCCTCTCAAAGACGTTCCTGGCCTGGGCTAGAAGCCCTGATCTGGCGGCGTACACCTGGAGGAAGATCGTCCAGGAGATCAAGCTGCGCTCCTGCATTGAATCGAAGACAGCCACCGCCGAATCGATCTGGCCCTCGTTCGTGAAGGCCTTGAGCATGATTGTCCAGGAGACGACATTCCACTCGGGCATGGCGCCGAGGAGAGATTCCATCCGGCGGAGCTGCTGCCCCTTCCTAGCATAAGCATCCAGGAGCGCATTCCACGACACGATCGTCCACCCCGGCATCGCATCGAAGGCGTTCTTTGCGCCCGAGGCATTGCCTATCGAAGCGAAACTTGAGATGAGCGAATTCCAAGCCACAAAATCCTTGCCCTTGTTCTTGGCTTCATCGCTATGCCGCTCAAACCCAATGGCGGGAAATCTGAGCATATGCGCATATGCATATATTCTGCTAGAGCGTAAGTCTTTTCCCTAGCAATTCACAATTGACATTTGCAACTACCAAAAGTAAAAAGGAAATACCAAGCACGATTAGCCTAAGAACCATAAAGTTTTTGTCTTTCATCCAATGCAGCAAATTAGGGATGGATATGGATTTATGGAATGAAATGCTCTGCGATTTGTGGCAAATCCTCTCTGTACGATCATCAGCTCTATCCCAATTTCTCATAAACACTGTCCTAGAAAGCTTATTTCCTGGAGCTGACGGGGATAAGGCGTGATTGCTTTGGCTCACCATCATTGCGTGAGAGAAGACCCAGTGGTTACACAACCACTGGAAACCTTCTATTGCTAACTGGGGAAAAAGCAGCGAAAAAAGAAATGCTCACCATAGTGTTGGCATTCACAACCTCGGCAGTATGCTTTGTGTGTGGAGGTCGATCCCTGGTGATGGCAGCGATGTTGTGCATGTAATCAAAATTGCAACACTTGAGAGAGAGGAGGGAGCTAGACCACGTGTTGTGATTTGGCCCTCATCCACAGCAAACAATAAACTTCTTCTATCCCAGCCATCCTCTCATTGGCCATGCAAACATTCACAAAAGTTTTCCCAAGAGCCTCCACTCCTTCTCGTTCTACAGATAGAAAAAGCTTTCCAAATCTAAAATCTAAATTTTACTTGAAATTTACTTGCCTTATTGGAATTCAGATTTACCACTGGGAAAGAAACATTGATAAATCTTTCCAAGCTACAGACCGGATTCACATTGAAGTTAGGAATCTTGGACGCTACTTTGTGACAGTATCACATTTTAGTTTCAAGTATAAGCTGCTTTAGGATGAACCACACTTAGACTTTATTATGTTGACAACCTGGAAGTTTTTGGAGCAGTAGCGTCAACTCCAGTTTAGAGAATTTCTACTGATGGCCATGCAATCTACATCAAACAAAATGTTTGCAGTAGATCTTTTCTACATCATGCTAGGGTTTTGTAAGCAGGTGGCATAGAGTCACGAGCGGCCAGCAGCATGGTCGATGAGTGAGCTACTTAGGTGGTGCACAGGGCGATAGAGCTTAAAATATAGAAATATTTTAGGTAACAATCCAAGAAAAGGTATAAAGATTGTATTGTTAGATAAAAAAATTGCACAACTAAATATAATATTTAATTTAATCTAGTGATTAAATTTAGTTATGAGAGACATTTAATTTGTGCCTATATTATGCATATGCTGTGATTATAATAGATGCTGATAAGATTTGCAGACAAATAGCCACAACAATTGTCATTGCAGCATATTTAAAGCCATGGGTCTTATGCTTCTTGGGGAGTGTTGCAAGAATTTGTAAAAAGTATATGAACTAGAAATTGCCCAACAAAAGTTGGCAGGTTGGCAAGGTGAAGCTTTTATCTCCTCAATTGCCTTTTAATATTGCCCAGAAAATGTTGGAAGAGTACAAAAATCAATAATTTTATACAATATTTTCTTTTGATATTTTTATATGTGTATATAATAGTATAGAGTATAGGGATTGTGCTTTTGAGTTCTCGTATTATATGGCATTATGATTTTTCTCACTTATAACTCCATCCACAGTCTTGGTGATTGTCTTCAGGTAACTTAAGACCTATGCACTATTTCAAACACTAAAGGGAAAAATAAGAATTACTAAGTAAATATTATTGATAAAGATAATACTAATATTTTAAGAAATTACTCAACCCAGAAAAATTAAAACAGAAACTGCTAAGATTAATTTTTTATAGTTATAAGAATAAATATATTTAGTACACTTCCAAAAAAAACAATAAAAGAAGAATTACTAAAAATAAATTTTATTAATTATAAGTTATATATAAAGTTGTGAATGCTTGGGATATAGGAATAAATATATTAATTGAGGTTTAAACCACTGCTTATATATAAAAATAGATGGACTAAATTCAGTCCTAAATAAACAAGTACTATAGGGTAATACATGTATATACATACATATATTCACAGATCTTACATTATCGTCCCCTTTGGAAAATGAAAAAGTGACGATAATAAATTAGGTGGAACATTTAAAGCTTTTGCTAGGTGATTACAGACTACCATAAGAATCTAAAGCTTAAGTGATATACTCCTTAATTGATGACAGCATGGTATAGTAAAAGAAGAGAATGCAATGAAAATTAGAAGAAAAAGTAGATATAAGCACAATGATAGCTAAAACTCTAGATCTTGCAAAAGGCTAATACAAATCTAGATTTAAAAGAGAATGAAGAAATAAAACCAAAAAGTGCAATGCTAAACACTAAAGCAAAGCACTGTCTAAAAGCTTTGCTCTTTAATGACAAATTACAATACCTCTCACCTCCACCAATGTGGTTGCTTAGGATAAAGCAATAAATATATTAATTAGGGTTTAAACTTGTATTTTAGATTTAGTCCCAATAGATGGTCCATATGCTATAATACTATAATTAGTGTATTACCTAGCCAAGGTAATAAATATATATGCATGCATATTTATAAACCCTACAAAGTATGTTTTTATTTGGAATATAGATAAATTTAGAATCCTAAAATATTAAGAAAACTTACCCAGACTCATAGAAATGTAAAGACGAACTAAGAAGATTAATTATCATTAATTTGGGGAAGCATTATTTAATTATTATGTGTTTACTTGGAATATGAATAAATATATAACCAAGATTTAAGAACATTAATATATTACTCAGACCCAAATATAACCTAAAATTAAAAAAATTGTATGTACCCTTAAACTCAAAATTAATTTAATTTTAAGTAATATAGATTTAGTAAATAATTACTTTTCCATGTGCTTTTCTTAGAATATAGAACAATAAAATGTTAATCTACTACCCAGACCTAAGTAAAACTAAGAAAAGAAATATAAAAAATGATTGTTATTAATATATAAACTATAAATTCAAAACCTGATATTCTATGTATATAAGATTTATGAAGGTGTTTAATTTTGTTTATTAAGACTAAGCTAACCCACACCTTAAGCATCATATGGAATTGCTGTAATTGCCCAATCATTAGTATAGCTTATCAATTGGTGACAGGTGACTTTATCTATCAACTAAACATATACATAAAGAAGAAAATTATAAAACAGAGTAAATGTCATCTTAATTATATTAACTGATTGAGGCAAGTTTAAGTCAAAATGAATTTTAATCATAGTATCCAAGCTAGGAAACGATATTTGTGGCCCAATGGTTTTGCCACCTAAGCAACATCTCCATGGGAACCCCAAAAGCTATTGTTCTTCTGCGCACACAATCCCTCACAAGAGTTTTCTAAGAGCCAAAAAAAATTGACAAGCAATGCAAAAGGGCCATAGACCCAGGCAACATTTTTTGTTGCCTATTGTCCATGGCTTATGCCCCAGCAATTCTCTACCCCAGCACCTAGTCTCCACTCACACCTAGAGGAAGTTGGAATAGCAAAATAATTTGTGCTTACCCTAACTTTGATCAACCATGGTGGACTTGATGCTCTTGGCCTTTTGCTGCTGGAACTCTTGTGCAAGTAAATAGCACTTGCAGAAGCAGTGGGAGATAAAATCTTGGCTCTGTGATCTAGGCAGCTTGTACTTCTCCTAGAGCTTGGTTTTGTAGTGCGCCGAGAGGTAGCAACACAGCCCAATACAAGAGCCCATTAAACAGGCACATTGAAAAAATGAAACTCACATAAGAAAGCAAGAAGCAAGGAAGAAAACTTAAGAGCTTACATTCATTGTCCACAACCTCGGCTAAGCATTCAAAGGTTATGCAAGGAGTGCTTTTAATTACACAACTTGCTCCATGACAAGGCCAAGGAAATCACATACATGTCAACAGAAAACAAACACTTAGACTATCAGTCTCTAAATATGGCTAAAGCACTCTCAAGCTTCTCTACAAAAAGGAGAAAGAATTGGGTTATAACTTTCCAAGTCACACTGTGTTGGTTGTTCTTCTCCCAGTTCTTCACAAACCCTAGAGCTCTAGAAGAGAGAATAATTACTGAAAGACATTACTTAATTATGTGTTTTACTTAGAATATAAAACAATAAGCTATTAGGAACATTAATATATTATTTCCCAGATCTAGTCAAGAAAATAATTATTTGTAAATATATATGTTATTGAAACTGTAAATTCAAATCTTATATTGCATAGTATTATGTATTAATAAACTATATTTGCAGTTAGGAAAAGTATTTTAAAATATTACTAATTCATCAAATACTACATACATTATTTTAGTTTTTTTTTGTTATGAGTTAGATTATAAATAGCTAAGGCTACATATAAAAATATAATATATACTCCTATTGTTAAAGTTATTTAAGTTTTTTATATTAACATTTGAAATTTTGATCATGGTCCTACACATTCATAAAACTAAATCAACCCACTATCACTTGGTGTTAGGTTCTATATGTTTTAATGATATTTAGATAGGCCATCTGTATAGAATATAGTTTTCTTATTATATTTGTAGATACTGTTAAATTAAATTATAAAAGTTATTTTTGACCTGAAATATTTAAGATTATAATACTTCATAAAAGAGAATAAGAATGGGTAAATTGATTATTTTTTATAGAGCATTAAAAATAAAGTTATTCATTTAAAAATAAATATTCACTCGCTTGGGTAACTTGTTAAACAGAATTCTCTACCAATTTTGGATTTTGATCTAGTGATTCCACCAAAGGCATACATAATCTATCATCTTATAGATACAACTTGTTACTGGTTAGATTAGCAAAAACATTGTATATTAGCACTTGGATAACCCAAAATTTTTTGATACCACACTTCCATCACTATGATAGCGCAATTAGCAAGAGATAGAACCTACTGTTAGAGTCTAGCTAGCACTCACCACCCAATGTCCTAATCTTTGCACCCATGAATTCATCTAGTAAAGAAAGTAAAATATTTACACTATGCAAATTTGCCACAATGAGAAGCATGTGAGCGATGAATGCCCCTCCCCTGGTGCCAGTGGCTAGGAAACTACATGCTAAGCAATTCTTCAATGTGATGCCCAATATAGTTCTCCCGACACTAGGCACAACAATAAGCTCAAGGAAGATCATAAAGAACGTTACCATCTAAGCATAGAATCAAGCCAAGACCAATTGTCACAACTACTGTTACAAGTTCTAACTCCTTCACTTTTGCCTTCTCTAAAGCTTGTGCCACCACCTAAAGAATATAAAAGAACTCCAAAACTTCCATTGAAAGGAGAATAGCTTACTTTGTAGATTGCTTGCTAGTGGTTTAGACATGCTGCTAGAGACATCACACCACCATACTGTTGAAGCAACTTTGCCTTTGAATCTAAAGAAACAAAAGAAAACAAAATAAAAATGAAGAGAGAAAAAAAAGTACCTACAAACTTAATGACTCTCCCAAAATCTTTCCATCGCTAGTACAAAGTTTGAGAAAATGCAATCTCATTGCAAGAAAATCCACTTACAACAGTGGCTCCGGTGTCATCGCCATGGTTGGTCCTGATTGCATTCGGCCAAAATCCCGACCGCCGCCAAACGCAGTCAGCCGAATGCAGTTGGACAGCTCTATTTGGTGATTCCGTTAGACAAAAAAAATGGTGATCACACTTGCAAGGGCTAGATTTTTTATGTTGTTGCAACTATCACCATTGCCACTGCATCTCCACTACTTTGCTGTTCTCCTACTGTTATGGAGCAATCCATCCATCCATGAATGTGCAGCCTAGCAAGCCTACATAGAATCCGACGAAGAGGGCTATAGCCTATAGGAGCTACGTGCGTACCGAGCTCTATAGGGCAACACTCTCCAGTCGGTCTGCCTTTGTTTTCAATTGAGCGTGGAGCAGCTCGCTAAGGCCTCATAAATCGCCCAGTCCGCGATGCTTGAAATTTTTGCCCTAAAATGGAAATTACAATTCCATGATTCTAGCGATTCAAGCGATTCTGGCACAATTGAGCAATGGTGCCTGATTGAGCATGGTCCTATGTTACCAAGCTCACTCCTTATGCTTTTGGCAAAGGAGTTGGGTGTTGGAAATGTAATTATTGTGGAAAAATGTATGGTGGTCTGCCAAAACGAATTAAGGTGTATCTTGTTAAAATTTCTGGGTATGATATTGAAGCATGTAGTGCTTTAAATGTTTCTCTTCATATTCAGAACCAAACTCACCAAATGTTGGTGGAGCAAATCACTAATACCCCTTTGTCTTTACCTTCTATAGCAAATCTACAAAGTAGACATTTTGATGGGGCATTTGCTTCTGGAGCTGGTATACAAAGTGTTAGTCAATCTCAACCTATGAGTGCTTCTATAGGCCATGAGGGATCATCTGCTTTGGTTTTCCTACTTTTATTAATGTGGTTTTACTAAAAATGTTTTTTTTTTATCAAAAAAATTTTATGAACCGTTCAGCCGTTCGGCATTTTCACAGCCGGTTGGCCAGTGGGCATTCAGAACAATCAGGACCAACCATGGTCGTTGCAACTTGTCTCAATTCCCAAAACAGGTAGTAGACTAGCAACTGCAGCAAAAAAAAAAGGCACTATGCAGGAATTTGCACATTTGGGATGAATGTGAAGCACCATTGCAAGGGATTGGCAAGAGCATGCCCATAGCCCATAAAACCCTAAATCAAAGGAAAGAGATCTAAATATAAGCTTGAATCATAATTTGAAGGTGTATTGTCATTATAAATGCTTTCCACTAAATCCTGGAATTTACCCTCTTAATTTCAACAATCTCCATTGCAAAAGGTTTAGTGTCAATGCCAATTAACACTTTGCATGTGACATGTGTGGTAGCGCCTTCTTCTCTCACCCCAGGCAATTAACTACTTCCTATTGGCTTGATAGCAAACATCAATAGAATTATTTGTTAAGATATGGTTAAGGAAATAACCCTTTTACAGCTACCCCTATCGGACGGCTGCCATTGGCTAAATCTGGCAGCCCAGAAAGGTCAACACTCCCTCCTTATTATTATATCAAATAACTTCATACATTAATTTAATGTGGTTTGCATCTAGACCACCTGCAAGATCGGATTCCATAGGCTTAGGTGGGACATGTATGTAATAACCCTTGTAATAATTGCTCCAAATAAAAACATTATTTTGAAGTTGACATGATTTTAAAGTTATTTCAGTGGTTAAATATTTTGTAATATATTTTCTCTGGATACGCCAGATTTAACCACCCTAGCATATGCTTCAGGTTATCCTCGCTTAACTATCTTTTAACCCCTTAAAACCCTTATGGGAAACGTCATGGGGCGAAGGGAGAGCGCATTGCAATGCGCGCCATGGATTGTTAGGGTGTGAATTGCGCTAGGGCAAATGTTTGCGGTGGGGCATTGGCGCATCGGCTGCCGGAGGCATTGGATCTCTCGCGGCTGCCCTGGATTTTGATCGATCTTTCGCTCGCAGCGATTGATCGGCGCCAGCGCCATGGCGGGCATCACGCCAATGCTGTCGTCGACATCGCTCCAGTACAAGAACGCGCTGGATCGAATCGCCGGGCCGCCCCAGTTTCGGTGGTTCTCGTGGACGCAGCCCGGGTGTGGGAGCCCGTGCTCGCCCGATCAATGCAGTGCCAGTGCCAGTGCCAGCGCCAGTGCTAGGGCGTCGTCTCGATCCAGGAGAGTCCAGGTTCTAAATATTTTTGTGAGAGCCGCTTGGTGTAGTGGGAAGTTTAGAACGAGGTCTCACGAGGAGACGAGGTCCGTAGAGAGCAGCACAGCCATCGAGAAGCGTGTCCTCACGCACTACTCGTCCGCCAGGAAGGATTTTGACATACTGGAGAGGCTCACAATCTCTGAGACGTCGTCGGTGGGGTTCATCTCGCGGGATGATGTTGTGTCCACGGATCAAAGAGACTTGGAGGAAGAGATATGGACGATCAATGACAGCGCGGAGCTGTATAAGATCGATGGGTGGGGCGCGCCATACTTTTTCATCAATTCTAAAGGTCACGTTAGCGTCCATCTCCAGGGGCATCTGGATGGTAAATTCATCTTTGAAGTTGTCCGAAGGCAAGAATTTTAATATTTTCTGTTTTGTTTGTTAATGGCAGGCGCGGACGAACTGGACTTGGTGGATCTGATAGAGAGCCTCAGACGAAGAAACCTTCAGCTACCAATGGTTCTTCGTTTCCCCGAAATAGTGCAGCACAGGATTCGCCAGCTGAATGACTGTTTCAACAATGCCATTGCGAAGTTCAGCTATCAGGCAAGTTTCTCTTTTCTTTTGATCTTTTTTTCAACAGTTCGCTCTCCTGACGTGTAGCGGCATTTTCAAGGAGTTTTTCCTATCAAGTGTAACCACGACCGCTATCTCCTCGAAGACATTGTGAAGTTTGGGGATCAGTGTAAGTTTGGGCTAGAAGCAGGCTCTAAACCCGAACTTCTGATAGCTATTGCAAAGCTAAGGGGCAGTAAGGACGCGCTTCTCATCTGCAACGGATACAAGGCATTTATTTGTGACCCTGTTCCAGTGTCGAGGCTTGATGAGTTGTGTGCTGTTGACTTGTGAGTAATTGACTCTAGCGTCGATGGACTCTTGACAACAAATTGTTTCTCTTACTTTCTAATTTTTGTTTCTAACTGGTGGTGCTGATGTGCAGGATCGGGTATATATTGAGAGTGTGTTACTGGCGAGGCAGCTTGGCGTGAATGCCATCATTGTTCTTGAACAGGTTTGTATTTCTTTTTATTTCAAGTAGTTTATCAATGAACCTATGACAGATGGAGGAGCTAGAAATGGTAATCCAAGCGTGCAGAATTTTGAAAGTTCGACCCATGGTCGGTGTGAGGGCAAAACTAAGCACCAGACACACCGGGCATTGGGGTGGTTCTTCAGGCGACAAAGGGAAGTTCGGTCTCACGGTGACTGAGATCGTTCGTGTTGTGTATACGTTGAGAAAGGTTTGTTACGCATTTTTATGCTGGATTTAATACTAACACTTGGAACATGCAGGAAGGCATGTTGGATTGCCTTCAACTCCTGCATTTTCATATCGGTTCGCAAATTCCTTCGATCTCTATTATCAAAGAAGCCATGCGCGAAGGAAGCCACATCTTCTGCGAGTTAGCTTTGATGGGCGCACCCATGGTATGTACTCCTTTACTTTCGGTATAGTGGCCATCTGAAGCTTTCTCCAGCAATATATTGACGTCGGAGGCGGGCTTGGTATTGACTACGACGGAAGTAAAACTCAATCGAGTGCTTCAACAAATTACAGCATGCAGGTGGGCCTTTTTTTTTACGTTTTCGAAGCTTACCATGGTTTTCTCTTTTCTATCCCAGAATTATGCAAACGATGTGGTGGCAGCTCTGGTCGATGCTTGCATTTTAAAAGGGGTTGCTCAACCCGTGATCATATCTGAGAGCGGGCGGGCCCTGGCATCCCATCATTCCGTTCTTGTCTTCGACGTTCTCAGCACGTTTGAGCGGTCCGAGAACACTTCCCTCGCAAATCTGGAAGTTCTGACGAATAACTCGCCTTATAGCCAGCTGAAAGACAATGGTCGAGGCTGCTGTGCCAACTCAAACCGTCCGCCTTGTTCAACAAGCCCGGCCGCCGATCAAGATCCAGGGGAGTACCTCCTTCACACGTTTGAGAAGGTCTACAATACCATGGACGAGTCCAACTTCAGAGAGTCATACAGCGATGCCAAGCAGTTCAAATCCGAGATATCCAGCCTCTTCAAGCTCGGATGCCTGAGCCTGGAGCAGCGAGCTCAAGCCGACGCGCTGTACGAAGCACTCTGCCATCGTGTCGTAGCACTGTGCAAAGGAGAAGATCTTCCGGACGAGCTCCAGGAGCTGAGGGACTCACTGGCCGCAGTCTACCACATCAACTTATCCGTCTTTCGCTCGGCTCCCGACGCCTGGGCCATCGACCAGATCTTCCCGATCATTCCACTGCAAAGGCTGACCGAGAAGCCGACTGTTCAAGCTACTCTGGCAGACCTTACCTGTGACAGCGATGGGAAGTTTGATCGGTTCATCGGCGAGAATGGCGAAGTAGCAGCCGCCCTCCCTGTTCACGAGCTGCGCAAGGGAGAGCCTTACTTGATGGGACTCTTCCTCGGTGGTGTCTACCAGGTAAAGTTTCCTTCTCTCTTTTGTTTCCGGTACTAAAACTTCAAGCTCTGTCAGGAGGTGATGGGAAGCGCTCACAATCTCTTCGGTGGAACAAACATAATTCACGTCAAGATCAAGCCACAGACGAGCAGCGACATCCTTACCTCCGCCGCGGCATTGCTCAAGAACGGCAGCTCTAGCGGCCGGGGAGGCTACACGATCGAGAGAGTGATCCGGGGCCAAACCATGGAAGAAGTGATGCGAGCCGTCCAGCACGTAGGCGACGAGATGACCGAAGAGCTGCGAAGGGAGGCCGAGGACGCCGTCGCAAAGGGCCATCTCTCGGTGGAAGAAGCGCAAGCACTGCTAGTGAATTATAAGAGAAGCTTGGGATCCTACACTTACTTGAGCCGATGATATGCTCCCGCCAATTATTTTAAAGCAGGAAAAAGATTCTCTTGATAAAAGTTTTAGGGTTTTGCTTCGTATCTATAGAACCCTAGGGTTTCTCGGGCTCTGGCGATGGCGAGCGAAGACGACGACGCTCGCAGTGGAGGCGAGCAGAATCGCGCGGCGGAGGAGGATGTGGCGGAGGATGGGGCGGAGGAGGAGGAGGAGGAGGAGGCGGCGGATGGATCCAATGCGGTAAGGAAGCGGCGAGTGCTCGAGCGGCTGGCTCACAAGATGGAGAAGGAGGATGTGAATGTGCGCGTCCACGACATCCAGATCAAGGGGAACAAGCGCACCAAGGACTGGGTGATCGAGTCGGTCCTGGGCAAGATGAAGGAGGCGACGACGCTCCAGGATATTTTGCTGGAGGCCGCCAAGGCCAGCGTCCAGATGGAGCGCATGGATGTGTTTGAGAGGTGGGTCATCAATTTCGATGTCGGGCCGCCGGAGCTGCCAGGAACGACGAATGTGATCGTCGAGGTCGTGGAGCCCGAGAGGCCTTACTCGTGCAATGTGGGGATGTTTTCCAGGCCAGAAGTAAGTTCTCTGGGTCTCTCGAGCTTTTATTTTCTAGTTTTCATGTTTCTCATGGAAACTGTACTGCAGTCTCGAAAATGGTCGCTGGAGGGAACCTTGAAGTGGAAGAACTTGCTGGGTTATGGAGAAACTTGGGATGGAACTGGCTGCTACGGCTGGGACTCCACAGCTGAGAACAGTGTGGGAGTGAATTTCCCCAGGTTTAGAACTTGGCCTGCTGGTTTCTTCACTCGGGTCTCGTTACTCTCCCAGGACTGGCACAAGTACTCGTCTTACAAAGAAAGGCTGCTAGGGGTCTCGACTGGCTTGATCCACGACAACAATCACGAGCTCAGCTACAACTTGACGTGGAGAAACCTTGCCGATCCGTCTCATAGAGCGTCCAAGACTGTTCGCGGCCAACTTGGTCACTCTTTGCTCTCGGCTGTGAAGTATAGCTACAGGTTGGACACCCGGGATTCGTCTGTGAGACCAACTGAAGGATTCGCATTTTCCACTTCCTCCCAGATCGCTGGCTTGGGACCCGACGCCAGGCTCTCGCGGTTCTTCAGGCAGGTACTTGAAAGTCACGATGTTTTCTCTGCCTTTTATCTTTACTGATGTCTTCTTTTCTTGCATTACAGGAGCTAGATTTCCGTTTCGCTGTTCCTCTAGGCGTGTTCAACGCAGCCTTGAATCTCGGTGCCTCGGCTGGGCTGATCGTTCCCTGGGGGAAGGATTTCCTGAGCAAGTCGACGCCTCTGAGCGACCGGTTTTACATGGGAGGACCGAGCTGTCTCGTGAGCGAGCTCCGGGGCCCGTTCAGCCTGGTCGGCTTTCGAACGCGTGGAGTCGGTCCCAGGGAACTCAGGCGGCTTGTCAAGTCCGGCAACGAAGAGGAGATCGGGAAGAGGGACACCTTGGGTGGAGACTTCGCCATCAACGGCTTCGCGGACCTCTCCTTCGATCTGCCGCTCAAGTTTCTCAAAGAGCACGACATCCACGCTCACGTCTTTGCGTGCTCGGGCAACATCTTGAGCCTAGCGGACAGGAAGAACATGACGGCGCAGAAGTTCTTCTCGGGGTTCCGGTCCTCGGTGGGCGCGGGCTTGGTCATCCCGACGAGAATGTTTCGTCTAGAGGTCTGTTTGATCTTTGGTTTCTCTTTGTTTCTCCTAAAGTTTGTGTTTTGCTGGTTTGGAAGATAAACTACTGCCGAGTTCTCAAGTACCAGGAAAACGATCGCGTCAGGAAAGGATTCCAGTTGTGCTTCTCGCCTCCGTGAAAGAGACGGGACGTTTTTGACTCGATTCTATGAAGAAATTTGTCCGAATAAATGGATTTTTGAGTAGTCTAATGTTAGAATTTAGTATATTCTTAGCTTGTGCCTTGACCGGCCCGGTCCACCCGCTAGTCAACTACGAGCCTTCGTGGCGCTGACGTGGGTTAACAGCGGCCTCCAACTTGAGGTTGTGGTGGCTGCCTCGTGGAAAAATGAGGGCGTAGGGTTTTATTTCCAGCATTTCGACTGGGTATGGTGTCTCGCAGGGATTGAGCGATCGATCGACGACGGTGCAATCGATACGATTGCGGGGCGATGCTGCTCCAGTCCGGAGGCGCCATTCCCAGGCGGCTGTCGTCCGGCTTCTGCGATGATGATTCTAATCGGCAGCGATCTCGTCGCTGCCTCTGTGTTAGAGCGGTAGCTACCTCGGATCCTCCGGCTTCCGAGGCGAAATCTTCTCGTAGGAATGTCAATGGGAGCGCAAGGATTAATGGCAGTGCTGGCCGAAGCATGGTACGTTTTGTTTTGATTTTTGTCGCTAGATTGGTTTTCTCATGGCGCGCATGGCAGCGAGTGGGAGATATGGCGGAGGAAGTGAAGAAGATGAGAGCTCAGCTCGAAGAAGACGAGCAAGTCGCTTCATTCATGCGTGGGCTTCGAGGACAGAATCTCTCGGACGAGCTCTTCGCGTCATCGACCGTAAAGCTTCGCCTTGTCGAGGTAAGAAATATGTTTCGTCGAGCCAAAATGAAGAGCCATATTTTGCAATGTTTCCAGGTTGACAGAGAAGGAGACAAGGAAGCACTGCCCCTGGTTTATAGCCCCCAAGCGATATCTGCGTACTGGGGAAAGCGCCCTGCCGCTGTTTTCACTCGCATTTTCCAGTTGCTTGGTGTTGCTGGCGGATTTCTTTCTCACCTCGCTGGAGACATCGTTTCGAAGAAGCTGAAAGAGGTAACGATACTTATTTTGTTGTTTCCCTGAGTGAAGGCACTTTACTTGCAGAATGAAGTCGCGCGAGCTATCGAGCTGAGGGAAATTGTAACATCGCTTGGACCTGCCTATATCAAGCTTGGACAAGCTCTCAGCATTCGTCCTGATATATTGTCTCCTGCCGCCATGACTGAGCTACAGAAGCTTTGTGACAAAGTACGTTGGATTGAACTTGGAACTGATTTGCACTTCATTGTGACTATAGCCTTCTTAAATGTTTTCTAGGTGCCGTCATTTCCGAACGATATTGCAATGGATCTTATTGAGAAAGAATTGGGCCAGCCATGGACCGAACTGTATTCGGAGCTTTCTCCATCTCCTATTGCTGCCGGTATGAAGAACTAGAAATTTGCTTCTATACTTCTCTTTAAGTTGATCTTTGCAGCATCTCTGGGGCAAGTTTATAAGGGTCGGCTTAAGGAGACGGGAGAACCTGTGGCTGTAAAAGTTCAAAGGCCTTACGTACTTGAGACTGTAACTATTGACTTGTACATCATCAGAAAACTTGGGCTCGCTCTTCGAAAATTTCCACAGGCAAGTTTTACCTTCGATGTAATTTTCTTGCCATAATTGTGTTGCGCTTGTAGTACAGATAGCTACAGATGTTGTTGGTCTTGTGGATGAATGGGCTGCACGGTTTTTCGAAGAGCTTGATTATGTCAATGAAGGTCGGAATGGAACTAGGTTTGCAGAAATGATGCGGCAAGACCTTCCTCAGGTTTGAGCTTTTGAATGATTCAATTGATCACCATCTTTGCTGCAGGTAGTTGTCCCAAAAACTTACGCCAAGTATACATCAAGAAGAGTATTAACAACCGGATGGATTGATGGAGAGAAACTTTCTCAAAGTACAGCTGATGATGTCGGAGAACTTGTAAATGTAGGTGTAATTTGCTATCTAAAACAGGTACGTGCTTATATATTCCATTGTTTCGGCTTCCGATTGTTTTCTCATTGAATATTTGACTGTGAAGTTGCTAGATACAGGTTTATTCCACGCTGACCCACATCCTGGGAATCTAATACGCACTCTTGATGGGAAGTTGGCCATACTTGATTTTGGTAGGTTCCTTGTATGCGTTAGGATTGAAAATGTTAGTAACTGTTTCGCATGCAGGTCTGATGACACAAATAACAGATGACCAAAAATACGGAATGATTGAAGCGATATCGCATCTTATTCATCGTGACTACGAGGCTATTGTCAAGGATTTTGTGAAGCTAGATTTCATTCCCGAAGGAGTGAATCTAAATCCGATTATGCCTGTTTTGGCGAAAGTGTTTGATCAAGCTCTAGAAGGCGGTGGTGCCAAGAACATCAACTTTCAGGAACTTGCCTCCGATCTGGCTCAAATCACATTTGATTATCCTTTCCGGATTCCTCCATATTTTGCTCTTATAATTCGAGCTATTGGAGTTCTGGAAGGCATTGCATTAGTAGGCAACCCGGACTTCGCAATAGTAGACGAAGCGTATCCTTACATCGCACAGGTATGTATGTTTTATTTTCTAAACCATTGCCACTCAATTTTCTTTTCTGTTACGCAGAGGCTTCTTACAGATGATTCTCCAAGATTAAGAGAAGCTCTTCGGTATACCCTCTACGGGAAAACCGGTGTTTTCGACGTGGACAGATTCATCGATGTTATGGAAGCGTTTGAGTCATTTACTGTGGCTGCTAAAAGTGGAGGCGGTGAAGCACTCGGTGGGGATATGGCATCCCTTGGTTCGTTACCGAGTACTTCAAGAGACATTATCTTGCGAACGACTAGTAAGGATCTTCCGTCCGGACAAATGCACGCTAGGGTGGCGCTGGGATTTATGGTCTCCGAGCGTGGAGAATTCTTTCGCGAATTTATACTAGACGAGGTATGAATTTACTCAGTATCATCTCTAGTTCCGCAATCCAAAACTTCTGGCTGCAGGTTGTGAAAGGACTGGATGCACTGTCTAGGGAGCAAGTTGCTCGTGCGTTGCCATTACTGGGCCTGAACAGAATCGATACCATTTTAAGGTCTATGCCTGTCGTTGGCGTTTTTGCCAGTGCTTTGCCTTTCATGCCTCATCGGCTACTCCCCACCATTACAGCCATCACAGAAGAAGACGAGCTTGTATTGAACAACGTATATAAAATCATCTCCTTTTTTGTAGAAGGAACTCCATCGTTCAGAACAATCGATCGGGTATGTTGTGACTTGTTTCTGTGATAATGACCCCATTTGTTTCCATCAAACGCAGGAAAATGGATTGGAAGTGCTCAGATTACTAAGAGAACTCCAACCCATTCTTCCAAACATTTCATCGAAGCTGGTTCCAGAGATAGTGAGCCGTTTCGCATCGCGTGTTGTTGCCAGAGTCCTGCGGGAAGTTTTCTTGTGAAGCACGTCAAATAGTTTGGATGACTGGCGAAAGACAAAGTCACGGCAAAGGTACAATCTCTCAAGTTGTAAGTTGCAAGTCAATTGAAATCAAAACTCTGTTTGACACGGGGCTCTGAATTTGTGCGTCTGTTCTTCTCACTTCCGTGTGCTTTGTCTCCTCTAGATGCACAGAGCATGCCAGAGCGATGCAATGAAGAATCTCGCTCTATGTTAATTGTACGCAATCTCAGGCCAGTTCTAGCAATCTGCTTTATACTTTTTTAATTTTTCCTTCTTTGATTGTAGCAGTGGGAACCCCTGGAAAAGGGCTTCACAGGCCTGACGTGTTATATTTCGACTGTCACAGGGCCCTGTACAAATAAATGTAGCTGCCAAAACTTTGGTCTTATGGGGAGCGAAATGTGGATAACTACTTGAAAACTGTTGGTACTTTCTGTCATTTACTCCGCTTTGTCAAGAGACTAACTTGGTGGTTTCCTGCTCGTAGGTAACTGCAAATGGGTTCTCTGGGAAACTTGCAGCTCTGGAAACTCAAAATTAAACTTGCATCAATAAGATTAGAGCAATACCTCGAGTAAGTATTGCGACTGCTATGGCTAGTTTTTCTGTGTGTGTCGTCATCTCCTAAGATGTATCCTAAGTTGATGTTCGTTTCCTTTAGTAACACGTCGGTGGCACCTGAAAGACTCCACAGTAAGTCGGATTTCCGTGAAAGAATATCTCACGCTTACCATCTTGTGGTTTATCTACAGCTTGGAGTCGAAACTCTACTAGTTTCTGTTGGAGGTAATTCTCTCGCTGCTGCTGCTGCTGCATGCTTTCTTCGGGCAGTTTAGAAGCTGGGAAAATCACACCGCGTGTAAACACGGGAACGTAGCAAAATACCATGCAAAGTTACCAAGGTCGGTGTTGTTTCTCGCATTCCTGGATTGTTGATCAGCATTTTTCCTAGACAGACAAACATATTGTGCCAAACATACAAAAAGTCTCCATGTGATCCGAGCTTACTTGTCGGTGTATTTTACTTTGTCACGGTAAGGCTTGACCAGAACACGAGCTCCGCAAACATAGTGGGGATTGCCTTCGGCCAGAATGGTCTTGACAGTTTCTCCATGGATGAAGGTTACGAATCCAAACATACGCTTCTGCTGATAAGGGATTCGTACGTCCTGAACAGGACCATAAGCGCTGGCAAGCAAGCAACAAGGCAGCTACATGAGAGGTATTATCTTTTGATATGTTTTTAACTTCTTTACCTGAAGTGCGCGTTCACATCCTCTTCAGTGAAAGCGCTCTCAGCAGGGAACGTCAAATATATCTGACGAGAGCTGGGACTTACGATGCCATTATGATCATAATTATCTCCACGATGAGCCGCAACCGCAAGCCTGGAACTTTCTTCAACCAGGACGACTGCCTGCTGTCCATTGGGCCTGAGAAGCGAACTACTTGTCAGACGCATGCAAGACGGACTCGAACGAAGATCGATCGGCTTACTGATCGATGACGAGAGTGTTCTTCATATGGCAAAGCAGGCTGGTTAAACCGGATCCTTGTACGGCCTCGGGAGTCGCCAGGAACCCGTCAACGTGGAGAGCGCTCCCGAATTCCTCGAAGTACATCTGCGGAAGCAACGAGATTGGCACCGGTGACTTTCTGGCACGGAGCAGCTCTTGAATCTCCAATTCCAGCCTCTCCAGAGCCGACTCTGTCCCGTGCTCCTCGATTCCCAGCGAGTTCGGAGTGTGGAGAAATCTACACCCGCTGCCGTGCTTGCAGTGGCCCCGGGAGTAGTAGACGCAAGGCTTCCACGCGTGGCTACTGTTATTGCTACTGCTGCTGCTGCTGTTTGGAGATTCGTGCTCCGAGAGACTCAGCATCAGATCGTGTTCGTCTGACTTTTGCTGCTGCTGCTTCTGCTGCTTCAATCTGTTCCTGTTGAGGAACGCGAAAGTTTCCGGGTAGAAATGATCGTTTGGGAAAACTCCGGCACCAAAGAGAGGCTGGTGCTGGTATATATCTTGCATTGAAGGCCGATTCATTAACTCCGCTTGTTGTTGCAGTTGCTTCTGGAACGGGACATGGGAATTGACGAGGGGAGGATGGTACACGTCTCTGAGATGGTAAGTGGATTGAAGCTGGTGATCGAATGCGGTACTAAAGTGGAAAGGTGGATGCTCAGGCCTGGAGAATGGAGCAGGATGATCGAAATGAGCATTAGGACTGGGAGAGAGGCCAAGTTCCTGCTTTGCTTTGTCCACCACGGAGAAGAGGAGGGCATCCGAGCCGAGGGCCATCCGGAGCATATCTTGCTCTGCCTCGTCTTGCAGAAGCAGATATCCAATGATCTTTGAGACGTACCTGGGATCCAGAGCCTGCACTCTTGCGTACAGCATTCTCGTGAGCTCGTAAGGATCCATATGATTTTTTCTACAGAATGAATGGAGCCGAGGTGAGCACCGAGGAGAGGAGCAGCAGCAGTAGCAGCAGCAGCTGCACAGAATGCTACTGGTAACATACCTCGTGTGTGGTTTTTTTTTCTTCGGATGTACTAATCCTGCGATAAGTGATTCGTGCAGTTCATCGGCTCCCTCAAGCTGCTGCTTCAAAAATGGGGAAGGGGGAGGGGACCCTCGTTCTCCACTGTTCAACCAATCACTCTCCCGAGACCTGCTGACAAATTCGAATTATTGGACTATAGCTCGGATGGGCTCTTCAGCAGATCCCTTGCAAAGAAAAGGCAAAAAACAAGGCTGCAGTTCAATACTACACGGATTCTACTGTTTTAGTGAGCGAGACTTTTGAAGCATCAGCAAGGAAAGCTTTTTCCTCTAGCCAGAGAAAGCAGGTCGCGCAAGCCGAGAAAGGGATCCTTCAGACAGGGCGTCAGTTTTATATTCATATCGGTCACAAGGAGGAGAAAAGGAAGCAAGCGCTGCTCTGCAAAGATTGAGAGGAACCGAGGACAAAGTTTTCCTGGTAAGGTTTAAAGCCCAGAAAAGAAAAAAAGAAGATACTAAAGCTTCGTTTTCTTCGCAGATTAATGCGAAGAAGAAAGGCCGAGGAGAATAATGATATGTTACAATCTCAGTGACTAAAGGCTTTGGTTTGTTACGCAGGATGAAATCTCGCTGCACAGTAAAGTACGCAAAAGGGTAATGATATGTTACAGCTCGGTGACTCAAGCTTGGGTCGATGAAATCTCGCTGCAAAGTACACTACGCAAAAGTTTTTCAAAGGGTGGCAAAGATCTTCCAGCGTCTTGTATATCCATACCACTCTTCGCTCGTTGCTCGTAGCACCTACTCATTCACTCTCTGCAGGCGGTAAGTAGCTCTGCTCCTGTTGCTGTGTGCTGCTGCTTCAGCTCGCTTTTGATTTTTCCAGAGATTTTTCATTGTCAACCAATCTCTCGCTTGGTTTTTCTTTTGTTTTGCTTTCTCTGCTGCCTGCTGTTTCCTCTTTTTTGTTACAAACTTACGTCGCTCGCTTGGCTTGCAGGCAGTGATTGATGGTGTTGCATCAGCACCACCCGCTGTACGTAAGCTTCCGCTCTCGATTTCTTTTTCCTGCTACTGCTCCTGCCTTTGGACCGTGCAATGCATCGGACTTACGACGCTGGCCCCAGAAACAAAACCGTCTCCTTTTCTTCCTGTTTTTTTTTTCTCTCTTCTTCCTCTTCCTGGTCCCAGTGAACGTGCTGTAGGCAGGCGGGATTTTGTTTTTGTCGCAGTGGCCAGGCTCTGGTGATTGAGGGAGAGTTTACTTCCATATCCTCGGTAAGAAATCTCTAGTTTTCTTTTGTTTTTCTTTAGTTTTTTTGGCTCTTTGTTTGTTCTGTAGCATAGGAGTATGCGTTATAAATTCCGAGAGCAGTCTTGCTCTGTGAGACACTGACGGTGACGTTGCTTGGATCTGCAGGAACAGCGCTGCGAAAAAATTAGCTTTGCAAAAACGAAACCATTGACTCCCAACAGTGATCGTGGTATGGTTTTTCTATTGTCTTCATGTTCTCTCAATGCTAATGTTTTCTATTGTCTTCACGTAGAAAAATCTATACACGTGGGGCAAAGCTCGCCTTCCACTTGGCATTTCTTATCACAGCGCGTTTCATGGCGGCGAAGAACGAGCAGGAAAAAGCCCGGCCTTCTTCCACCCCGATCAGGTCCGTGTTACTCTACGCTTGCTACCTCGCCGCCATCTTCTACGCCAGCGATGGATTCATCCCCATCCCAGAGCTCCAGTTCGCGGCATTCGCGTCCTTCTACCTCTTCGCCCTCGCCAAGCTCGCGTTCCCTCCAGTCACAGCGACCCGGCCGCCGCAAGCTTACACCGGATTCAAGCTCAAGATCCTCAGGTACTACGTCTCGGTGGCAGCCGTCATTGGCCTTGTTCTTCCTCTCGCCCTCCTGCTAGTCGGACTCTACCGCGGTGACCGGCAGCTCTTTCGATCGGTAGTGCCTCACACCGCGCTGCTCGTCTTCCAGATCATGTCCGAGAGGGTTGCCGGGAGCTCCGACGCGGTCTCCTTCCCCATTCGAGCGTTCGTTCCCATCGCGTATAACGCGAGGAGGTTGTTTACCATCTGGAGCTGGATGGACGTCGAGTTTGCGAGGCCCGGTGGCGGCGGCGGCTGGGAGCGCTTTGCAAAGTTTGTAGCGGTTGCCAACATGGTGTTCTGGAGCTTCAACCTCTTTTGTTTCCTGCTTCCCTTGTTCCTGCCCCTGGCAATGCGGAGTTACTACGAGCACGCGATACGGAAAGAAAAACTAGAGACGCAGAGAATCGACTAAAACTAGATTGAACAAATTTACAGCAAACCCTCCGGGATTTATTCTCAACTGGCAGGGAAGAATAAAGAAAAAATTCTCCGTGAGACGAGATCGAGAGAATAAAAGCTTGAGTGTACCTCGTATGAAAGTTGTTTCAATCAAGAGAGGTCGTGGAGGTCTCGAGGATTGGCCGTGGTCTCTCTTTCTTGCTTTCTCGTTGCCGCTATGTCGGCCATCTCCTTCGCAATCTTCTCCAAGCGTGCTCTGTCCTTGGCAGCGGCCTCACATTCGTCTTTGTCCCTCCAAACGGGAGCGGCAGGAGACGAAGCTCTCCTGGGGGACGGCACCGAGCCCGACGCTATCCCGGCGATGGTCTCTCCTGCTTTGGCTCGAGCCGCAGCGACGCCCCTCTCCTCCTCTGCCTTGTCTGCTCGTCTCATCCTCTCTACGTGGTTCCGCTCCACTGCAGCTGCGGCCTCGGCTCCGGCAGCCTCGACTTGGACTCCGCTCACTTCTCCGCTGTCCGACTCCAACGACGTTGTCCAGTCCGCATGCTCGCCGCTTGTGGCCTTTTCATCCGCCATAGGTCGTTAGGGCTTGAATGTCAGCTGAATGTGGCTGTCCACGTCGGCGCCTAGCCAGGGAAGACCAAGCTGTGCAGGTCTTTCGCTATCTCCTTGGCGGGGGCGGTGTAGCCTTCAAAGTCGCAAAATTCACACTGCAAGCTTTCTCAGTCGAAAAATGATCTGAAAGGAAGCAACTTACATCTTCCCCGCTTTTCAGCTCAATGACCACGCCGCTGGGTCTCAAGCCTCGTCTGCTGGCATGGATTTTGGAGATGCTGGTATGGTCCATTTGTATTACCTGCGCGCGCCATGAGAGAGCTATTAGACCTCACAGACTGAAGCTCTTACCTTCTGCTTGTCATCTTGCGTAAACAAGATATAAGCCGTTGTTACTAGCAAGGTTCCACTGTATTTGTGAAGCATTCCTTGCCGCCAGCATTTAAAGACTGCTCACGTTCAAATTAATTTAGCAGCTGTTCATGAAAACCTTGCACTCACGCACCTTTGACAGCACTGTTACTAGACTTGAGTGGAGCGTGTCTCCCCTTCTCGGACCAAATGGGCGACATGCACTTCTCCAAATGTGACCCTGTGCCAACGACCTGTGTATGATTCAGCTTAGTTCGAGTAACTTGTACTCAAGTCGAAAGCTCACCTGATCAAAGATTGTTTTGCAAACTGCATCGCGATCGGACAGCTTGCTGAACTCTAGAGGGCGTTGATGGAAAGGTATTAGCACGATTGATCGTTTGCCTGAGAGCTCAATGCGCATCATGCGATCAATTGGGACCACGTACAGGTTTCGGCTATCGGCAAGAGTCATCTTCGTATCGGCAAAGCAAATGTGTTTTGGTGTAACGTATAGTGTGCCACGCACTTTTTGAGGATTTCTGCAAACGGAGGGAAGTTATTAAAAACAATATTCCAAAAATCATAAGCGCCTTTACCTGCAAGAATACGACGCCACCAGCTCTTCTTCTTTTGGAAGACCGAACATGAACTGAGAAAAGGCCAAACCGTGAGGAACGACACCAGCGAAAAGCAAATTTACCTGCATCATTCGTTTGTTTGCAATGAAGTTCTGTTGCTCGACTATCTCATGGGCTTCATCATCAGTCCTCTGCTTCAACAGCCATAAATAGTCGAGAATGTGGAGCGTGCCACTGTTCCCGTCAACTTCAGGTTGTTGATTTCCTTCCTGAGTATTAAACTGGTCCCAAGCTCTCCAGTAAAGAGAACACAAGTCACGAGTGTCAAGATCCCAGCAAGCCAGGATCTGACGTAGACGGGCAGTTATAGTATCCATTTGTCCACTGTCCAGACCTTGACCATCACCATAAAAGTAGTCATAAAAAAACGAAAGGCTCTCTTCAAGGAGCCTCCTTTGCTTCGGGGTCATCGGATTCGGATCCTCGTCCCTATTCAGCGCAAACTCCTCCAGACAGAAAACTAAAGCTTTACATATCTCCTGCATAGAAGAAGATTCAGGTACAACAACCCTCTTCTTTACAATACGTACCGTGATTAGTTTTTGGAAAACGACTGGATGCGAAGAGTCATTCATGACCATGAGGTGCTGATCTAGATGCCCGGTTAACGGTTGCAGGTTCTGATCAAGTGTTTCACCATCACTAATTGCTGCCTCATCGAAGATGAGATGCAAATCGCGTCCAATTCTAACCTGCAGCTGAGTGTTCAGAAATTGAAAGCATTGTAAGAAAAGAAAAACCTGTAGAAGTTCGACAACGGAGCCGACGACGTTGTCAATTGTTTGCTCAGTGAACCGCTGTATTTCCTCAAACTTGGGATTGAGACCATCTTTCACACTTCCGTGCCTTTCCAAAATCTTGAACAAGCTCAGATTGTTCGCATCTGCATCTCTGTCCAGTTCAGATGATAGCAATGATTAGTATAAAAATAAAAACGCAAGACGCGTCCTTGCATTACGTTTCCAAGGGTTCGCGTCCATTACTATTTCGCTGTGTTTCCATCAGCCTCCGTTCCAAGTCCTGGTGTTGTTCCATGACAGCATTCATGTTGTTCAACTGGTCCATTACCATCGTATTCAGTTTTCAGTTATACAAAATAAAAATTATTACCTCACGCAAAGTGCCTTCGAAATACTTAGCTCGGAAGATGATATGCCCTCTGCGGTGGTTTCTTCAGGAAGATCCCGCAAGCACAACTTCTCTAAAAGCTCAACGTATGTTCTGACGGCTGTACAGATCGCGTCTTCAACATTTTTAAAGTAAAAATTGCCAAACGGAAGTGTTGCAAGCCTTGTCATCATTTCGTCCATAACTTCACCAAGCATAAAATATAAATCTAAAAAAGAAAAAGAAAGTTATTTTCTGTAAGAGAAGTTCTGTTATACTTCTTACCTACAACGGAGAAAGAAAATAAGGCACCCGACTGAGCTGAAAGAGGCTCCCACTTTTCTGCAGTGATACTGGAGCTCACCCAGCTAAAAAGAAAAGCATGACTTAAAAATCTTCTGTATACATAGTACTTACTCAACCATTCTTGTTCTCGCGGTGCTAATTAGTTGATTGATGTAGTCTCCAAATATCCCATGGAGATCCAGAAGCTCGCATTTTTCACCGGCCAATTCAATGTCCTTATGAAAAGACAGCATTTCCATTATCAAACTCTGTAAGAAAGAAAGTTAGATCTAGAAACAATTTTGCAAGCTATACCTCACAATCTTTAGTAAACATCTTCACTTGTGCCACCCGGATACAGTTTATTACGTACGCGGACACCTGCAGAGCAAAATTAAATACAACGTTTGAATAGCCATGCCGCTTTACCAATTTGTAATAGACAGGAACAGCTACAGCAGTCAAAGATACTGCCTCAGGAAATGTATCTTTGAAAGAAGTTCTTAACTCCGTTACGTCCCCATGCACCAGTTTTATGACATTTGACAAATGCTGAAGAGAAATCTCTGTAGGTTGTTGAGTGGAAGAAATGCCGCCAAAGAGGTGGTGATAAAATCTTTTCTCGCATGAGTTCTAATAGATAAAGTGAGGATAAGAGAGAGATTTTATGGTCACTGTGGACAAGGACACCGCAACCGTAAGAGAGGCATTACCTTTATCCAGCTTTTCAGTGGAATGAGAATCTCTTTAGGATCCGGATCCCAGCGGAGAACAAGGCCCAACAACTTGAGAAGGCATGATAGTCCTCCAGATGGTTGATTTTGCGCAAAAACAGTCTGAAAGTTCTCAATCGCATCAATAGCCGGTTTTACGAGCACTGCACCCAGTTTAAACAACAAAATCACGGAAAAGGAAAGAGAAATGAGTAACATTTGGACATACTCGAGACCACTGCTGTGTGTAATCCAAGCTCGTCTTTCGTCAGCTGTCCTTCTCGTGCTGAGTCACAAACAGGAAGCCACTCTTCCACAATGGAGGACAGGATATGGACGTTAATATGGAAATTCCGTGCCAAAACCATCACAATACCCAGGCTGCATCTTTGCTTACGTATTCGATAGTGAAAACCAAAGCCAGCGACAATACCATGCCACTGTGCAGCAACGTCAACGTTGCCTATACAGAATTGTTAAACAGGAAAATAATACTTAACGTGGTTCGAAACATACCTTCCTTTCGTGGCTTGTAGGCCATGGATACTAGAGCATCAAATGCTTTCTCGACATCTGGAACCGGTGGTCTCAAGAGTAATTTGTTGGAAGGAGCATCTCTGAAGGCGCAGCTCAAAATTAGATCTAATATCATAAGCTAGCAAACCTGTAAAATCTTTCGCACGAACAAGAAAATCGCAGTTGTATTCCACTGGTCTTCTGTCGTCCCTTCTCATCCGCTAGCATGTATGACATCAATGGAGTCTTTCCTTGCATAACACCCTGGCTGAGTGCTTGAGACTCGATGTTACTGAAAGAGACAATCACTTGTCCGAGGAACGGATCTTGATTCCAAGGCGCCACCTGTAAGCAAAAACACTCACTTGAAAATTCACTCTGAAAGTGATGTGAACTTGCCTTCAGGCTCCTACTGGAGCTCCTACTCCGAAACACCTTTTTGAGCTTGGATTTTCCAGACGCTCTGAAAGATGACCCCCCTATTTGTCTGTCCCAGACTTCTATAAGCACTTTGTCCTGCACACTACAGCAATTCAGAGCCCACTTAAACACGAAAATTTTAAAAAATCGCAGGCCACGTCGGTGCCAATGAACAAGAGCAAACTATACAGAAAAGCATAAAGTACCAACCTGCTTACGGGAATCCACGGCGATGCTGCTTGCCATTCAGCATTCCCGGTACTGGGAACAACGTCAGTTAAAAAAGCAGGAGTCGGCTCTTTCCCAAGATCACCCGTGCCGAATTTTTCTGATCCAGATCGCATCGGCAAGACAGTGACCGACGAATAAACATGGAGCTGCTTTAAAGCTTCCCTGCTGCAACTTAAAGGCGACACGCAGCCCACCTCCAATGGCTTAAGATTGTCCACCGAAACCACGTCCACTTGGACAAAGCCAGAGAAAGATGGACGCTCACCGAGCTTCGCAATCAGCGTGGAAACCTCTTGCATTTGTTGCTGCTTCCAGCGCTCATAAATTTGAGGGTCCTCGAATTGGTCCAGGTTGACGGACTGGAGTTGATTGTTTTGCAGCGCGTCCAGCCAAAGCGAGAGCTCTAAAAGCCAAAAACGAATGAGTCTTTGAAAACCATGGATCTGTCTTTCAAGACCTGCTCGACGATACTGTGCCGCTTTCTGGGCTCGGAGCTTCACGCTGTGGAGCATGGCGCGATCGATCGTCGAAAAGGCGCCAGTCACAGTCTCTGCATCGGCCAGTCTATCGTCCAGGCTCCTTGCGGGCGACGAGACAGCGAACACGGACCTTAGAACAGCCTCGCAAAGATAAGCGTCCTCGCTGAAATCGTTCACTTCTTCCTCCTCCTCGTCTCCGCTGAATTGTGATATCTCTTCATCTACACTCACCTACAATCGCAAAGGTTTCTCTGGTCGATTTGAGGAAATCTAGATTCTAGCTTACCTCCTTCGTCGTAACGATCCCATTCTTCACCGACACCTCCCATTTCCTTCGCGGTGGAGTATACGGCAGCCGCAATGCCGAGGAAGAATCATCCCCCGGGACCGATATTTCGCAGTCCTCATCGCTGGAAGAGCTCGGGGATTCGAAGCTCCCGTCGAGAATGCAGGAAGACGGAGCAACGAGCCGCTCTGGATCGCAATCTTTGAGCGATAATCCCCGGACTGGAGTCGTGCGCCTGGAGAGAACAGCCGACATTCTATCGCGACGACCGCAAGCAGCAAATTCCCTAGGGCAAAGAGCGATCCTGAGGAGAACAGCCACGAAATCTAGCTAGAACAGCTCCTCGCATCGATCGAGAGCTCATCGAAATCTCGCAAGCACAGGGAATGGCGAGCAAGATATCCCCAAGAGAAGGAAGAACGCTTCTATCAATCAAAGAAAATGCCAGCAGCGAAACCTACATATCAAGCCTTGAAATCAATCGCACGTTGCCAGTTAGCCGACGTGGCGCCATCCACCGCGTCCACGCGGGAAAAAGCATTCTCGCATCGGGGCCAATCGACGGGCAGCGATTTTCTCGCATTATCGCCCACTGTCGGTAGCTTGACGAACGGCTGCGATGATCCGTTCATCTTCCACCAAACTCTCGCTTTCTGGGCTCGCAATTCTCCGATGAAAATTGAGTCCCTGGAACTATAAATTCCAAGTCCCCACCGTGAGAAAACTTCGAAAGCTTTGACTGTAAGATCGATTGAGAGGCCTGTTCACACAGAACCATTATGAAATTCTTTGAGCACTATTGAAAGCTTACTTTGAAGGAATAGTGCTCAAGAGGCCTTCTGCAAACACCATCAAATCAAAAGAATTATAAAGCTAGAACTTAAGAAAGTACCTGACTTTAGCGTGCAAGATCTCCTGAGAAACTTAATCTCTCTCTCCAAATGGAACCAGAATCCTCATCTGTTCTGTTCTAGCGTTGTTGATCCATTCTAACTGCCACCGCCACCTTTAGTTTCATCGTTGTCAGCCTTCTTGGTGTTCTTTCCTTCCGGAGGCCAAGGATGACCACAGACTGGAGCTTTGAGAACAAAGCCTTCTGGTAGAATGGGACTCACGGGGGCCGGGAGTCGACCGATGGCATCAACCAGTGGCGCGATCTTTGGTTTGGGCCTTGCAGCTCGGGGAAGCAAGCGACCTTTCTTCTTAAACCAGAGTGGATCGAGCAGCGCCTTCATTCCAAGCTTGTTGTAGTGAACTTTGCGGACAGTCCCTCCAGCTTGCTCGATCGCGATCTTAGCAGCCGTAGTGCATCTGCTAACCTGTTTTAAAGACAAACCTTTGTTAGAATGTACCAAGCGAATGAAGTGCGTAATATAGACCTCAATGTGAATAGGAATGTCAAAATTCTTGAGACCGCGTCCCAGTAGCAAAACTCCATCCTGAATGTACTTCCCAGAGCAGCGCGTATCCTACAGATCAGAAAGTTTCAGTCGGGAAGAACAGAAAGTTAAAAAGTAAAATATGTTCGTACGTGAAGTGTCTTCATGGTAATCAGCTTGCCGGGATCGATCTTTCCTTTCAATATATGCTCTTTCAGCCTCTCCAGCGTCACCTCCTGAACAACAGAACAAAGAAAAATCCATCAAAATCGCGTTTTCTGAGAAAAAGAGTAGAATACGGCAAGTACCTTGAATTGGAGCTCGAATGGAGACTTGCTCTCGTACTTCTTCGGCAAACGCACGCGTAGAGGAGTCTGTCCACCCTCGAAACCCAACCTCGGTTTGTGCCCTCGTCGCGCCTTCTGTCCCTTTTGTCCCCTCCCACAAGTCTTCCCCTTCCCCGATCCTATACCCCGTCCAACTCTCTTGACATTCTTCCTCGCGTATGGATTGTCCGGCAAGTTCCACAGCGGGAGGAATCCGCCCTCTGGAATTTCTATGGGAGCAACTCGTACTTCCTCTTCTTCGCCCTGTGCTTCAATCTCCTCTTCCACTTCTTCTACTTCTTCTTCCACTATTGTTGCTTCTTCTACCTCTTGCTCACCTCCTTCGATCTGGAGCGCAGCCGCTCCTGCGCGGAGCTTCTTCAGCAATCGAGGATCCTCCTTGTAAAGATGCCCGAGCGGCTTGTCGCGCTGCCAATGCGGGCGAGGGAAGGAGACGCCGTTGTGCACATCCTCGGGCGCCGCCAGGAAGAACTGCTCCACGGGCGGCTCAGGCACTGGCGGGCGGCGGCGGGGGCCGATGAGCTTGGGCGGCATGAAGAATGCGGGCAGAGGGACGCCAAACGTGAACCTCCTCTTCTTCGCCATGCCCGCGATGAGCATCTTGTTCGCCATGGAGGATGCAGAACCCTAAACCCTAAAACACAATTTACACAACGCATTGTCCTTTATAAAAAACTTACCAAAACATAATGTTCTTTAAAAAAACAATTGTCCTTTAAACAATACCAAACCACCAAACGTATTGTTCGAAAACATATTGTCCTCCTCTAGACGAGCGAAGCCACCGTGGGATGGAGACTCTTCGCGAGCGCCTCAAAGCTCCTGCCTAGCTGCAATTCATCCAAGCTCACCTGGAACACACCCCCGCCCTCGCAAGCCATCTCCTCCAACACTTCCCTTGACGAAGTGTCACTCCCAAAGATGATTGTGTGAACAACCACCCTCGGCTCCACGCTCTTGATCCTCCTCACGAACGCCACCGGATCACTCCCACCATTGTTCTCACCATCGCTCAAGAAGATAATCGCCGGAGGCCTCCTATCCTCCAAAGATCTGTCAAGTATCTCCTCCGCGAGCTCCAGTCCCAAGGAGTAGACTGTCCCAGCCGACCAGTGGTGCCCGAGCAGCGCATGAACCTCCAACTCCGCCATCGCCACCTTCTCCACAGAGATCACCGCCGACCCCCCAAACAGCACCACCGACATGGTGTCGCGGATACCAGCCGCCAGCCTCGTCCGGATGAACCTCACCATGGCCTCGTACACGCATCCCAGCCGGCAGGGAGGAAAGTTGGCCATGCTCGGCTGCACGTCCCAGGAACTCACAAACACGACGTGGTTCTCTCAGGTGTCCTCGCTCACGTATCCCGCCACCCCCGAGGTGGAACTCACGGGCGCGTGCCACAGCTTCTCGGTGCAGTAGGATCTCGCCGCCGACTGACCGTCATCGCCAAGGTGCTCAGACGAGGCACACGAGTAGGCGCACAGCGCAAACGAGCGCTGGTCCTCGTCCGAGCACGGGTCCTTGAAGCGCATGCTCTTCCAGTAGGCCGCGTGAGTGAGCTCGTCCTTGGCAACGTCAAAGTTCGGCCCATACTTCTTGCCTGGCACCGTCCGGGATGGAGATCGCCTTGCACACTCCAAAGACGGTGTCGCACACCGCCAAGTGAACGTGTCCCCGGCCCCGGGCCTTACAGTGCATCATGCACATCTCCGCAGCACCTGACTCCCCCCAAGAGTATTTCCGGACCTCCTCGGTCTCGGACGCGAAAAACTTGTCCATCATGTTGCCGTGCGTGGTGTCGTGGAGCCCGCGGTGTCCCCTGGCCAGGTTGCAAAAGTAGCCGCAGCCTTGGCAACGAACCGGGCAGAAGTGGATGGCACTCGTCGTGTGTACGTGCAGCTAAGCATGGGTATTGTTGAAAGCTCGCAGCATCCTTTTCTCACGCCGTTTTGCTCCAAAACGTGCTCGTACTCAAACTGCGACCGCTTCCCCACGAACGTCTTCGTCTTCGTCACCACCTCCTCGCAGATCCCCGGCGACTGGCACAGCTCCTGGCACGGGTGCTCGATCTCGCAAAAGTGCTGAATACCGCTCCTCGTCGAGTGTAAGTGGTCGGCGGTGGCACACTTTCGGTGGCACCCCGGCATGCAGCACGGCATCGGGCACATCTTCTCGTGGGGAGTCTGTGATCGCTCGGTGAGACGCAGATGTTGTCGCAGCCCGGGAGCTGGCAATTTTCCTTGCACATATGCTGCCTTGAGTTGCACTTGTGCTCGCCCGGGTGGCCAACTTTCCTGGAGCACACCTTGTTGCAGTTGCTCGACGCGCCGAGGAGCTCGCACTCGTGGTCGCAAGTGTGCATCTTGAGCTTGCAGTCGTGAGAGCCTTCGTGACCGGCAACGTCCGCGCAGTGGCTCGCGGAGCTCGTCCTTTCCTCCGTGCAGTACGTGCAAAACTCCGAGCACCGGTGGTTCCCGTTGCAGCTGTGCGATCTCTCGTGAGACTTTTCCAACGAGCACCGGAGGAATCAGCGGGCGCACTTGCAGCTGCACAGCGCCAGGCCCTCCTTGAGGCCAGAGATCATCGCTGCCGCCTCGAGCACCAGCTTCTGGACGTCGCCTTCAGTGGCAAACGCAGCGGTGTTGGAGCTGATCCACTTTGTGACACAGTCCTTGCGTCTCTCGACAAGCTCCGCCAGGAAAAACTCTGCTTTCCTGTGCCACTCATCATCGCTTCTACCGGTCCGCGGCACCACCCTCTCAAACTCGCCCAGCAGCTGCTCCAGCACAGCTCCAGATAAATCCAAGTCACCATGGCAGGCGAGTCGGAGACCGGCATCGTCAACTCCGAAAGCGAGACCCTCGATACTGAGAACGGCATCTTCGATCGGTTCCTCAGTGTCGAAGTTGACGCGAGGCTTGCACGATCTTGCGACTTTCGTTGGCTGTCTTTATAAATGCGACCATGTTGACCTCTTCAATTCTGTCTGCTGAGCGCAAGTTCTTGGCAAGCATGGTCAGCTTGAACGCGATCCGCTTGGAATCAATCGGCGACCAGTCCTTCGAGCTGATTTGAGCGATTATGAGCTTGAGGTCCAGCAGAAAACTCTTCCCATTCGTGTGAACCGGCCCCAATTCCTCCACGCAGTGAGCAATCTGGGAGATGCTTTCGTAGAACTCGCAACAGTTGAAAGGTGGCATAGCGCATATCTCCACTTCGCCACCATACATTCTCGTCAGGAAATTCTCCTCCGACTTGCTGCAAATCTGCGCTATCTTGGAGTAAAACTCGTGCCTCAGGTCCTCGACGTCTGCTGCGTCCACGTCCTTGATAGCCATGTAGAACAGACCCTTGAAGAGCTTCTCGTCTTGCTTAACCAAGCTCACTCCTGCCTGGAACCGATCGAACAGAGCCTCGGTTTCCTTATCAAGGTGGAAGTCCTGCACGTCAGCATATCAGAAAGCTCGAAACAATGAGTCTCACTACAAAACTCACCTTTTTGTTGAAACCTGCTGCATTAAGAATCGAGAATAGCATGTCCTCTTGCTCGCTCCTTTCAAAACTTCCGAGTCCCTCGAAGTCGAGAATGACATATAAGCAGCCCTCCACCGTGCAAGTGGTCATCCACACACCGTCTGTGCATCGCCCTCCAGCTACGTCCAGCAAAGAACCGCTGAGATGATTCAGAAGATACGACTTCCCGCTGCTTTGTTTCCCCATGGAGGAGATAACTTTGACAGGCCCGTTCCAGCTCTGGATGACAGCGTCGTAGAGTCCAAAGCGAACGATCTCCGCGAGAGAGATAGAGTCCGCGTAGTTGACATCGGTTGCCATTCTCATGCCGTTGATCAGAGGCCGCAAGCTGTTGTTCTCTGTTCGAGCAATCTGGACGGGAACCAGGCACGAAAGCCTAGAATATCATGATCATTGTAAGCCGTCGCAAGAAATCTCCCAGGCAGCGCCGGCTCGTCCGGACCTCAAGCTTGCGATCAAAGTGCTCAGCCTCGAACGAGATGTCCACGTTTAGAACCTCCTTCCTTTCTCTCGACGAAGCTTGTCCAGCGCCATCTTAGCATGCTTCACGACTTCGGCGTCGATACCGTTGTGGGATCCATTGAGCACTCTGACGAGCATGCGAAATGTAATGCACCTCGGCGACGCTCTGAGCAGAGGCGGGCTCACTGCGTACTTGTCGAAGATGTGGTAGAGGTAATCGAGCTCGTAGCAAGAGCTCGACGGCTTGGCTGTTTCTTCCGCG